CCCCTGTTTCTGTCATTGTTAGTAAACAAGCAAGGAGAAGGTTGCCAGTAAGAGAATCGACCAAACATCCGAAAGCAGCCTCGAAGAATGTACACAAAATCTGTTTTTTGCAAAAATATTTCTAGTGATATAAGCTATCATGCAAAGTGCAAACGAAGTACAAAGTGCGTAATTACATTAAAAGGCATACAATTACAGTCAGGATATAAATCCTACTGAAATGCAATCTTAAGTGGACAGAGTCTATAAACAATCATCCTTATGCTGTAAGAACTACATGCACTAACCTCGACGACGTCATGCTCCGGGGGACTCATCTTCAGCTCTTAAAGAGAATGTTTTTTTCTGTTCTTACAGCATAAAGAAGATTGTTTATAGCAGGGGTGTCGAACTCCTTTGTTAATGAGGGCCGGATCTGACGTAAATGAGACCTTGTTGGGCTGGGCCTTGTGTGTCATAAAATGTAAGGCCGGGTAGCGGAGATATAAACTTTATAAATGACACAAAGGTGGGTTTTTTTTTTACTTAAAATAAAATGCTTAAAACATTAGCTCTGTAAGCTGCAAACCTACTTTTTGATTTATCGACATTCGCCACAGAGATCTCATGCTCAGAGTTCTGAGTCTAGGACCCAGGTTAAAACATGAAGTGGCTGAGTGATTAAGAGTCTGGCGAAGCAAGCTATGATGCAGCAGCAGCAGAACTGGAAGCAGGAGATGGCCAGTTCCACTGCTGGCCTGATGGAAGCTCTCTGGGGGCCTGATCCGGCCCCCGGGCCACATGTTTGACACCCCTGGTTTATAGTCTTGGTCTCTTTAAGGTTGTATTTTAGCAGGTTTTACGTCCCGATTGGGCCAGGCTGGAAGGTTCTGACCCATTTCCTTGTCATCTTTTTCCACAGTTGACGCCTGGTCGCTGGCCTTCTCTCCTGATTCCCAGTACATCGCCACAGGGAGCCACATCGGAAAAGTCAATATTTTTGGCGTGGAGACTGGGAAAAAGGAATACTCGTTGGACACCCGAGGCAAATTTATCCTTAGCATTGCATATGTAAGAATCCTGGTGCTTTTGTCTACAAACTTGTGCGTGCAGTCTTTTCTTTCATCCCCCACCCCCTTCTTTTACTAGTACGGTTTACTTTGCCCCCGTACCTGAATTGTACTGAATTGTGCTAGTATTACAAAGTGGATCTAGGGAGAGATGATTGTACCCTAGATCTCCATTCTGGGAGCAAAAAATAATCAAGAACCAGTGTGATGTAGTGAATAGTGATGCTCTGTGTTCTTGGTGCTTGGGAGGGAGCAACAGTGGGGACAGTGGTAGGGTTTCTGGGGTTTTGGCCCCGCTGATGGACCTCCTGATGGCCCCTGGGTTCTGGCCACTGTGTGTTCTGGGTTCTGGCCATTGGCCTGATCCAACATGGCTTCTCTTATGTCTGGGGCAGTGACGCTCTGTATTCTTGGTGCTGGGGGGGCAACAGTGGGAGGGTTTCTAGAGTTCTGCCCCTGCTGGTGGACCTCTTGATGGCCCTGGGGTTTGGCAACTGTGTGACACAGAGTGTTGGACTAGGTGGGCCATTGGCCTGATCCAACATGGCTTCTCTTATGTTCTTATGTCTGGGGCAGGGATGCTCTGTATTCTTGGTGCTGGGGGGGGCACAGTGGGAGGGTTTCTGGGGTTTTTGCCCTGCTGGTGGACCTCCTGATGGCTCCTGGGTTCTGGCCACTATGTGTTCTGGGTTCTGGCCATTGGCCTGATCCAACATGGCTTCTCTTATGTCTGGGGCAGTGATGCTCTGTCTTCTTGGTGCTGGGGGGGGGCACAGTGGGAGGGCTTCTGGAGTTCTGGCCCCGCTGGTGGACCTCCTGATGGCCCCTGGGTTTCGGCCACTGTGTGACACAGAGTGTTGGACTGGGTGGGCCACTGGCCTGACCCAACATGGCTCCTCTTATGCTCTTATAGAGTGTCAGACTAGGACCTGGGAGACTCCAGGGTTGAATCCTGGCTCTGCCGCGGAAGTTTTCTGGGTGGCCCTGGACCCGTCTCACACATTCTCAGTCTCAGCTACCTCACAGGGTTGTTGTGCGAATAAAATGGAGGAGAAGAGAATGTAAGCTGTTCTCGTTCTCTGTCTCAGGGAAGGCGATAAGTGAAGCAAATAAATAAGCGCCGTGCATGTGTTGAAACGTACGAAGCTGTCTTGCACCGGAGTCAGGCCAGTATCGTCAGCTCTGTGTCAGGTGGCCCTGTCATAAGTCTGGAATGTGGAGAGGTCCCCTCCCGTTTTCTGTCTCAGCTCTCCCCGGCTCACCAACTGTTTGCTGTCTTATGCGTGACCTTGTAGACGCTCCAGCTGCAGTTTTACTTGGCTGGGAAAGTTAACGGCTTTTGCTTTGCCCCGCGCGTGCGAGATGTATCCATTGGCTCATGCTTACCAGGGGGATGTTTGATTCTAGTATAAGTCAGAGTATTGGCAGCCATTCCTGACACAAAAGCTGTACACGTGTCTCTAGTACCAGCTCTACCAATAAACGGGTATCTTCTCATGAAGCCCTGTGTTGCATATCACTAAGGACCCTGACACTCTGGCTTGCAGCGGCTTTCCCCCCCTCCGTCTCCCAGAAATCCATTGGTGCAGGCAAAGCAAAGGAGAGGTTTAACACTGTTGGGTTTGTTTGCATCTACCCGGTGTCTTGTCATCCCAGCGGGTGGCAGAGAACCAGCCGATGATAACGCCGATCCTTGTGTCCTTGGCAGAGCCCAGACGGGAAATATCTAGCCAGCGGAGCGATCGACGGCATTATCAATATTTTCGACATCGCCACCGGGAAACTTCTGCACACGCTGGAAGGTAAGGCGCGGAGCCCTTCCCGTCTCCGCCTCCCTCTCCCTCCCCAGCTCTTTCGCCACACTGGTTCTTCTCATCCTCTCTCTCCTGGCCGGGGCGACCCCCCCTTTCTCGTCCTTGCCCGCCCTGCGCGTGAAAAGAAAACAGACGCGAGGCCATGATAAGCCAGCCCCATTCAAACATCGCGAACAAAGCACAGTTTGTGTCTGAGCCTCAGTTCTTCGGCAGCGCTCCCTCCCCTTCCTAGTTTAGGAGTTTCTGGTGACGTTTACGTTGGGGAGTCGGGACAAAGTGGAGCTTATCTCTTTCCTGGCTACCAAGAACAAGAGGTTCTCCCAGTTTGTTCCGGGGCCCAGTCGTGTGCCTATGAGAAACGATGCTTCTGTCCCAAAATGTCACTTTGCTGCCTCATCCTCTGTATGTGACTACTCGGGTCTAAGTCCAGTATGAGCCCGCACAGAAATGTGGTGTCCGTGTTCAGGTCCTCCTTGTCGGTTGCAATATTAGGCCCGGGAAGGAAATCCGTTTCGCTCGTCGACGGCTCGGCAGCTGTTTGCGGGACTCTCGATCTGCCCGTTTCCCTCTTAGGCAAGGGTCTCCAACCTGGCGCCCCTGGGCACCACGGCCTCCTTTGACCCCTCTCCTGGCTCCCGCCAAGTGTTTTTAAAAGTGGGTGGGCCCAGGTGGGCTTTTGCCCAGCAGGGCTTCCGATTGGCCACTGGAGATTTGATGGGCTGTGCAGATTTTTTAAAAAATGTTGCTTTGGCGGTGGCAGCAGCAGAAGAGATTGGATTTATACCCCACCTGCCCCTCACTCGGAGTCTCAGAGCGGCTTACAAACTCCTTTCCCTTCCCCTACCCACAAAAGACACCCTGTGAGCAGTGTTCCCTCTAAGCTGAGTTAGTGTGAGCTGGCTCACATTTTTTTAGCCTTCGGCTCACACATTTTTGCCTTAGCTCAGGGAGGATGGCTCCAGAGCAATCTAATTTATGCAGTAGCCAAATTGTTCGCCCACACCTTTAATGCCAGTAGCTCACAAAGTAGAATTTTTGCTCAACAAGACTCCACAGCTTAGAGGGAACATTGCCTGTGAGGTAGGCGGGGCTGAGAGAGCTCTTTCCAGAACTGTCCCTGAGAGAACAGCTCTGAGAGAACTACGGCTTGCTCAAGGTCATCCAGCAGGTGCGAGTGGACGAGTGGGGAATCAAACCCGGTTCACCCTGATTAGAGTCCGCACTCTTAACCACGACACCAAATTGGCTCTCGGCTGCCAGCACGGCACAAGAATATTCGCTCTGTGACCGAAGGTGAACTCTAGCAGTCATTTTGTGGTTGGTTCCACCTCCCACAGCAGCCATTAGGTGGCAGCCGTCTTGTAGGCCGTGCCCAACACGCCGTTTTCAAAATTCCAAAAGCGCCTGCTGGTTCGAAAGGTTCTGAGGACCTCCTGCTCAGAGGTTCCGGATCGGATTTCCCCTGCCCAAACAGGCGGGAGAGACGATTGGGCAGCTCTTTCCGGGTCAACATGACGGACGAGTGACCGGAGATAAAGATGGGTTTCCTCCTGTCTTTTCAGGCCACGCCATGCCTATCCGTTCCCTGACGTTCTCCCCGGACTCCCAGCTACTCGTCACAGCCTCGGACGATGGCTACATCAAAATTTACGACGTGTGAGTACCGGTCCCTTCCCCCCTACTCCCCCAGAAAACAAAAAAAGTCTGTTCAGGTGGGGCAGCCGTGTGGGTCTGAAGCAGCAGAACCAAGTCTGGGTCCAGCGGCACCTTTAAGACCAGCAAAGCTTTATTCTGGGTATCAGCTTTCATGTGCGGGCACACATCTTCAGATAAAACCAAGTCTGAGTCCAGTGGCACCTTCTAAGATGTGCAGGGGTCATTTCATAGAAAAAGAAATGCAGGAGCTCATTCGCATAGCTCATTAGCATAACTCATTTGCATTTGCCACACCCCCTGACCTCACCGGAAGTGTGTCAGGAGGCAACAGGGGAACGCGCAGATCTGCCCTCACAGAGGAGGGAGAGCTTGTACCTGAAGGTGGGCCAGGGGGGCTCTGCAACTTAGCTGGCTGCTTCTTGCTCCTCATGGCCCGACTGAGGGCTGCTGGGAGCAGGGGGCGGGGCTTGTTGCATGTTCCCGCTCCCTGGGCTCTTTTTTTTAAATTAAATTTTAAAAACCAGTTAAAAATAAGAAAGTAGATCCTGATGTTTATGTAGCGCAAACAGGGAGGTGTCAATTTTATGTGCTGCTGACGCTCCTGGGCTCTTTACTGCGGAGCTCCGCTCCTGTGTGCTCCTGTGGGAAATGACTCCTGAAGATCAGCAAAGTTTTATTGTGGGTATCAGCTTTCGTGTGCAGGCACATGTCTTCAGATAGAAACAAGTCTGAGTCCAGTGGTACTTTTAAGACCAGCAAAGTTTTATTTTGGGTACAAAGTTTGAGTCCAACGGCACCTTTAAGACCAGCAAAGTTTTATTCTGGGTATAAGCTTACCTGGTGCACGCACACTTCTTCTGATCTGGTATCTGAAGAAGTGTGCGTGCACACAACAGCTTATACCCGGAGTAAAACTTTGCTGGTCTTAAAGATTCCACTGAACCTTAAAAAAAAGAAAAGAAAAATCGATGTAATTCATCAAATGAGTTCAAGAGAGTTCAGACTGCTTGGATCTCCCAAAATCACACCCGGCTGGATCCTAGCTGTTGGCTCTGTTTTCCTGTCAATGGTAGCATGCACCCTGTGAGACGGAGGAAATAGGTAGGACTACATCAGAGGAGATATTTCCCCTCTAAATTACTCTGATATTCTCTTTTTATATGGGATGACTGAACCATAAGAATCATATAAACCTTCTGATCCAATCAGAATAGAGTTAAGGATTCAGGGGAAAATAGGTACTACTTTATACCTAAATTGCAGGTATATTTTATTTATTTATTTATTTAGGCATTTTTACCCCGCCCTTCCCGCAAGCAGGCTCAGGGCGGCTTACAAGGGGCGACAGCCCATGCATAAAATCCAATAAAACAATAAAATCATAATAACAATAATACATAACAACAATAATAAAGGGCTTTAAAAACAAGATGGTCCTGAGTGATTATGATGGCATCTTCAGGTCAGCCTCGTTGAGGTACCACTGTCCAGCAGATTCATGCGTTGTTAATATCACACAATATATGGCTGAGCTTCCCAGGGCGATCCCAAATCCTGTTGCCGTTGCCACCGTTGGTGGTCGTGGCAGCGGCGGCCCCTATGTGAAAGCCTGGCGGAAGAGCTCTGTCTTGCAGGCCCTGCGGAACTGCATAAGGTCCCGCAGGGCCCTGATCTCCTCCGGGAGCTCATTCCACCAGGTAGGGGCCGCCACTGAGAAGGATCTGGCCCTGGTCGCAGCATGTTTTACCTCCCGGGGACCTGGAACCACCAGATGGTTTTGGGTCCCCGACCGAAGTGCTCTTGGGGGTATATGTGGGGAAAGGCGGTCCCTCAGATAGGTCAGACCCTGGCCATATAGGGCTTTAAAGCTTACAGAGGTTTGCAGAACAGGTTTGCTTTTGGCGCACACCCATGGAGTGGACAGGCAACGCTGCGTTTGATCTGCAAAGTCGATCAATCTGGAAATTGGTTCCCTTCAAACACCCAGCGCTCTTTCAGAGGATGTTCAGGGTTGACTTCTTTGTATCCGCTTCTTTGTTTCTAGTCCAGAGGGACGGCATTCTTTGTTTGCCAGTTGGGTGTAGTGGCTAGGAGCGTGGGCTCTCATCTGGGAGAACCAGGTTTGATTCCCCACTCCTCCACCTGCTGGTGTGACCTTGGGTCAGTCACAAGTTCTCTCAGAGCAGTCCTCAAAAGAGCTCTCTCAGCCCCGCCGACCTCACCGGGCGTCTGTTGTGGGTAGGGGGAAGGGAAAGGAGATTGTAAGCCAGCTCTGAGATGCCTTCAGATAGAGAAGGGCAGGGTGTAAATCCAGTCTCTTCTTCTCTTCCGGCCATCATGTTTTCCAACTTGTATTTCTGCAACCATGAGGGCTAGAAACCAGTTCCATTTTTTGGTGCTCCCTTTAAACTCCTGTAGGGATTCGACCATATTCATTTAACAAACATGTCCAGTAAGGAGACTGAGATGGCTTTTATAAGACCTATGCATTTCTGTCCCCATAATCCATATCCCATTTTTCACAGATCTTCATTAAGGTAATTATTTAAATGTCTTCCAGCAAATTACCTCCCGGAGAACCTAATTGATAAAATCATAGAATCTCAGAGTTGGAAGGGGTCGTAGAGGCCATCTAGTCCAGCCCCCTTCTCAATGCAGGATCAGCCTAGAGCCTCCCTGACAGGTGTTTCTCCAGCCACTGCTTAAAGACTGCCAGGGAGGGAGAGCTCAACACCTCCCCAGGCAGCCGACTCCACTCTTGCACAATTCTGACTGTCAAAAAGGTTTTCCCTAAGATAAACAGGTTGCTTACCTGTAACTGATGATCTTCCAATGGTCATCTGTGCATTCACAGCTATGGGAATAGTGCCAGCGTCGATTCCGATCCGGGAAACTTCTAGAAAGCTCAAAAGATCTGGGGGCCCTCCCCTGGGCACGCGCAGCCCTCCACCGCACAGGCCCGCGGGTGGGGCCCCAGCATCCCGCCGGTTCCCTTCTGACCGCCGCGTTGAGCAGCTGTGTCTGCGTTGGTCTGGGAACTTCTGTGAGGGGAAGTAAATTTTCCTCAGCTCTTCGTTTCTAAAAAGAAAAGAAAAGTAAAAGAACTGTTACTTATAGTTTGTTAGTTTAGTTTAGTTAGTTTTCCTGGGTTTTCCGACCGTTGTCGGGAAAACCCCCCCCCCAATCTTCGGGTAGGGACCTTTTTACCTCACGCTTACCGTCGCTTACGGCAAAGCGTTGGGGATTTTTTAAACGTTGCACCCGTTGTGCTAACCAGTGAACTCCGACGGACGGTCACTCGTCGCGTCTGGACTGCCTGGGGGAAGCGCATAAACCAGAATCCTGCATCCACTGCGCTAAATTTTCCAGCCAGACACGTAAGAATAGAGCAGCACAACTCTGACTGTCAAAAAGTTCTCCCTAAGATCCACCTTCCTGCCCTTAGTTTAAACCCATTCTTGCGAGTCCTCTCCTCTGCGGTCAACGGGAACAGCTCCCTGCCCTCCTCCGAGGGACAGCCCTTCCGATACTTCAAGAGAGCCATCCTGTCCCTCCTCGACCTCCTCTTCTCCAGACTGGACTCTCCAAGTCCCTCGGCCTTCCCTCATATCCACTCAGGTTTAGCAGGGAACCCCTGCCTCTATGCCTCAGGGATCTTTGGATGCAGCAGAAAATTTGGAGACGCTACCGCTGCATGCCCTCCCTTCGCGGTTGCGCGTGACAGAGGGAGGCTCGTAACGGGGGCCAAACTGGCTTCCCACTGCGGTCTCCGGAGACGTTTGTCGTGTTTCCCAGACGATGACCACGCAAAGGGGTCCTTCCAAAGCAGATCTCGCTTTTGAATCCCACAGGCAGCACGCAAACTTGGCGGGCACGCTGAGCGGTCACGGGTCCTGGGTGTTAAACGTTGCCTTTTGTCCGGACGACACCCATTTCGTTTCCAGGTATGTAGCTCGTCGACCGTCTTTGGTTTTCATTGGGCCGAGGGTGTTTGGGATGGTTGACAAACGCAGATTCTCGGAACACGCTTTAAGGACATAAGAAGAGCCTCGCTGGATCAGACCAGGGGTCCATTTAGTTTGGCATCCTGTCTCTCATAGAGGCCAACCAGTTCCTCTGAAGGTCCAACAACAGGGCGTTAGAGGGCGAGGCCTTCGTAAGAACATTAGAAGAGCCCTGCTGGATCAGACCAGGGGTCCATCTAGTCCAGCATCCTGTCTTTCATAGTGGCCAACCAGTTCCTCTGAAGGTCCAACAACAGGGCATAGAAGATGAGGCCTTCATAAGAACATCAGAAGAGCCCTGCTGGATCAGTGGTCCCTCTAGTCCAGCATCCTGTCTCTCACAGTGGCCAACCAGTTCCTCTGGAGGGCCAACAGCGGGGCAGAGAGGCCAAGGCCTTCCTGATGTTGCCTCCTGGCTCTGGGATTCAGAGGATTACTGCCTCTGAACGTGGAGGTTCCCCTCAGTCACCATGGCTAGTAGCCATTGATAGACCTCCGTGAATCTCTCTAATCCCCTTTGAAAGCTGTTTATTCCTGTGCCCATCACTGCATCCTCTGGCAGCAGATTCCATGTTTATATATTTTTTGGCCATCAAGTCAAGCTGACTTGTGACGACCCCTAGTGGGGCACCAGGTTGGGGGCCCCTGCGGCAGGATGCGTGCATTGGTTCCATCCAAATGATCGAGATGGCGGGGCGATGGTGTGGGCCCTGTCTCTCTGATGCTGTGTGGGGTTTTGATATCAGGGGCTGTGAGCATTCACAGGTGTATAAAACAGGAATCGTATTCCTGATAGCGAGGTGAGCGTTGCCGAGAGACTCTGCGGCTGACGGCCCGGTTTCTGTCTTCCAGCTCGTCTGATAAGAGCGTGAAAGTTTGGGACGTGCCGTCGAGGACCTGCGTCCACACCTTCTTCGACCACCAGGACCAGGTAGGTAAAGAACTTTGCAGCACAGTCCGTTTCAATAGCGTTGGCAAGCCAGCGTGTCAGACTTGAAACACTCCGTGGATTTCTGCCAGTTCTTCCCTTCTGCTGCGGACTACCAACTCTCCGTTCTCATGCTGTTCCTTGGCAGGGTGGGGGTCCCGTTTCCCCCAGCAGTGGCATTTGGGGCTACAGTGGACAGAGGGAGCCACAAAAACTGAGCTCCTCAAACGGCAGTCCCTTCCATCACTCCCTCTAAGCTGCGGAGTCTTGTGAGCAAAAATACTACTTGGTGAGCGACTGGCATTAAAGTTGTGAGTGAGGGATTTGGCTGCTGCATCGATTAGTTTGCTCTGGAGCCCTCCTCCCTGAGCTGAGACAAAAACGTGTGAGCCGGAGGCTAAGAAATTGTGAGCTAGCTCACACTCACTCAGCTTAGAGGGAACCCTGGTCCCTTAAGAACGTAAGAGACGCCAATGTTGGATCAGGCCAAAGGCCCATCCAGTCCAACACTCTGTCACACAGAGGCCAAAAATACCAGGTGCCATCAGGAGGTCCCCCAATGGGGCCAGGACATTAGAAGCCCTCCCCCTGTTGACCCCCCCCCCGAGGACCAAGAAGACAGAGCATCACTTGCCCCAGAGCCCCTATCTATACCTTGTGGCTAATAGCCACCGATGGACCTCTGCTCCATATACTTATCTAATTCCCTTTTGAAGCTGTCCATGCTTGTAGCCGCCACCACCTCCTGTGGCAGTGAATTCCATGCGTTAATCACTCTTTGGGTGAAGAAGGACTTCCTTTTATCCGTTCTATCCCGACCGCTCAGCAATTTCATGGAGTACCCACGAGTTTTTGTATTGTGAGAAAGGGAGAAAAGGACTTCTTTCTCTACCTGCTCTATCCCATAAATAATCTTATAAACCTCAATCATGTCACCCCTCACTCGTCATTTCTCCAAGCTAAAGACCCACAAGCGCTTTAACCTTTCCTCATAGGGAAAGTGTTCCAACCCTTTGATCATTCTAGTCGCCCTTTTCTGCACTTTTTCCAAAGCTATAATATCCTTTTTAAGGTGTGACCAGAACTGCACACAGTATTCCAAATGAGGTCGCACCATTGATTTATGTAGAGGCAATTTGATATTGGCTGATCTGTTTTCAATACCCTTCCTAATAATCCCCAGCATAGCATTGGCCTTTTTTTACTGCAGTCACACACTGTCTCGACATTTTCAGTGAGTTATCCCTTCTGACCAGTGTTCCCTCTAAGCTGAGTTAGTGTGAGCCAGCTCACAGTTTTTAGCCTCCGGCTCACACATTTTCGTCTCAGCTCAGGGAGGAGGGCTCCAGAGCAAACTGATCTACGCAGGAGCCAAATCGCTCGCTCACAACTTCAATGCCCGTAGCTCACAAAGCAGGATTTTTGCTCACAGGACTCCACAACTTAGAGGGAGCATTGCTTCTGACCGCAGAGATTTCTGGTGGTCTCCAGCGATAAATTTTCCAGCGGATGACTTCCAGAGTCTTGTGTTTCCAGCTGAAATTTGCTCGTTGTCAGCTATGCTGCCATGGGGTTGGGAAGTTACTTTGTGTCTTGTTAATTGCTGTTGCATTCCTTTCACTATCCCTTCGCTGTAACACTTATCTCTAGAGAAGTGCAGGAGGATATTGTGTTGTCTAGAGGTCTCTCATCTTCCTTGGGAAAATCCTGATTCCCAGCTTTTGCCAGCTAACGGTTACCTAACTCTGCCCGCGCGCCAGAGGGTGCCCTATTGGCCCATAGTATGGGGGGTGCATATGAATGCCCTATAGCCTATCTGGTTCTATGGGTTGCTGCCATTCTTAACAGTGCCTGTGTTACTGCATCTATAGTTTTGCAATAAAAGTATAGCCATTCCTGAATGCGTGTACTTTGTTGTAAGCTGTGGGTTCTGACACCTGTGTCCTTGCACAGACAAACTGTGCGCTTGCAGTTGAGTAGGACAGTTGGCCTCAATCATATTGTGAATCGGCTGGTGATTGGAAACCACGGGCTTATATATCGCGTGGTGTCACATGGCATATCTACTGGGAAAAGTACAAGTGGAAGAAGTGCAGAGGAGGGCGACCAAGATGATTTGAGGATTGGAGCCCTTTCCTTGGGAGGAAAGGCTAAAGCGTCCGGGACTTTTCAGTTTAGAAAGGAGACAAGGGGGGTGGGGTGGGCGTGAGAGAGAGGTTTGTAAAATTATGCATGGGGTGGAGAGAGTGGGCAAAGAGGATTTTTTTCCTCCCTCTCCCAAAAGACTAAAACTTGAGGGCATCCAATGAAACTGGTGGGCAGTAGGTTTGGCATGGGAGGATCACGCAAGTCCACAGAGCCTTTACCTAGACCGGCCAGGGGGACGCAGGATGGCAGAAGATATTTCGAATTTGGTAAGGGTAAAAGGAGAAGGAATGACTCCATCTGGCTTACTCCCGCCACTGGCAGTGTTCAGAGCATCAGCAGCTCTTTAAACGAGCGTCTTAAGCAGGGCAGTTTGGTGTCATGGTGAAGTGCGCGGACTCTAATCTGGGAGAGCCGGGTTTGATTCCCCCACTCCTCCACTTGCACCTGGCTGGATAACCCTGGGCAAGCCGTAGTTCTGACAAGAGCTGTTCTTGAAAAAGAGCCATTTCTGTCAGAGCTCTCTCAGCCCCACCTGCCTCACAGGGTGTCTGTTGTGGGGAGGGGAAGGGAAAGGAGTTTGTAAGCCGCTCTGAGACACCTTTCGGTAGTGAAGGGCGGGGTATAAATCCAATCTCTTCTTCTTCTTCACCCAGCGTTGTTTACCAAAGCGTGGACGTTACGAGATGTTAAACCTTTCGTGTGTCTTTTCTCTGCCTCTGACCTTGGTTTCTTTTCCTGTAATCCACAGGTCTGGGGCGTGCAATATAACGGAAACGGATCCAAAATTGTATCGGTGGGCGACGACCAGGAAATCCACGTTTACGACTGTCCGATTTAAGCCCACCCTTACCCCGCCTGGTTGGACTTTGGCCACGTTACATGGCATCTGTAACAGAGCGCTGCCAGACTCTTGGTGTGTTGATTTTGGGAATTATCGCTCCGGCATCAAGCAAAGCCTTTTCCTGTCCTGCAGCGACAACAAAAATAACCAGCTTTAACCTGTATGATTTTTGTTGTTTTGTCTGTTTCTTTTTTTTATAAAAAACCCCACCCACAAAAATAAATAACTTAATTGCCAGTAGCATACTATGGTCAGTTCTCAAACAGCAAGTGAGTAGTAGAAGCTGGCTGTAAAACCACAATGCACAGATTCTTTCTGTGGGTGTAAAAAAGACAAAACTGCAGCCACCCAGTCCGCTTTGTTAGCCTTAATTTTTGAAGATGGGTTTTCCTCTGTGCTTAATTGCAACATGTTTTAGAAAGTGGGGTGGGCCAAGGTGGTTCTTTTCCCCAGGAAGGGTTCTGATTGGCCACTGGAGATTTGATTGGCAGGGCAGATTTTTTAAAGTGTTGCTTTGGCAGCAGCCGCCACCACAGGACAAGAATCTTCACCCTGAGACTGAAGGTAAGCGGGGGTGGCCACTTTGTGGCTGGCTCCGCCTTCTCCAGCAGCCACTAGGTGGCTGTGGCCACCCCACACAGTCGCAGTATTCCAACAGTGCCCGCTTTCCACCCCCACCAAAAATGACAATATGCAGGTGAGCCCTGCGTCTCTTTCTTCCCCTGAGTTGGGTAGGCCTGTGGAAGTCCTAGAGAGGACTTCCTCTGTGTCGGCCTAGAGAGGGGAAAGGGATGGTTGGATGAAGGCTGACAAACTGGAGGTCAGTCTAGACACGACTGATCCAAGAGGACTGCCATTCGCCTAAAGGAGTAGGTTTGTAGCTTGGAGGTGCTGCTGGATCGTGGCCCAAATTTGGAGATGCTGGTGTCCCGCGTGTCAGCTTTGTCCGATGACGGCGAAGCCCCTTCAGAAAGTCTGACTTGGCCGTGATGAGCGATGCCACGGTTACATCCAGGTTACGTTACTGCAATGGTCTCGAATCGTTGTGGGGCCTGCCTTTGGAAACTGGCCCCAAAGGTGGTGGCCAGAAGAGGGCAGCAGGACCTTACCTTTCAGGACTCGAAAGGGCTTGGGGACAGGGAAGCTGAAGGACTATTTACTGTCCGAGTTGATGTCAAGATCCTCTTCTCAAGCCCGGCTCTGTGTCATGGCTTGGGGAGCGTGGAAGATGCTGTCTACAGACAGGGCTTTTCCAGTGGTGGCCCCTCAACTTTAGAATACATCAGCTACCTGATATTAGTGGCTAAGCCAAAATCATTTGTTTTACCCAGCCTATTAAGTCTGTGCTTGTGTGTCGGTGAATGTCCATTGTTCTAAGCTGGTTTTATGATCTACTTTTTCCACCCAGGAAAAATACAAACTGCACCATTAAATATATATTTTTGGTTGTCTTCATTGCCTGGTTTGTTTTGTTTCTGTAACTTAGAAGCAAGATCAGTTTATTGTTGATTATTTTAGGCTGGAAGAACTGCATATATGATTTCTAATGGGATCAAATGGGAACACTGGGGCAGCAGCAGATAGATCTTAATGGGATCACACAAAGTCAGTGTTCGACAGACTTTCTAATGAGTATAGAGTCAACCAAGAAAAAGTCACTGCAGTCTAATTAGTTGAGGACTGTGTCAAAACATCTTGCTGAATGACCTATGGTAACCCCAATGACCTCAAGTAACCCCTCCACTAATTGGCAACTTTGCAGAATGACCTAGAGTAACCCCAATGACCTCAAGTGACCCCTCCACTAATTGGCAACTTTGCAGAATGACCTAGAGTAACCCCAATGACCTCAAGTGACCCCTCCACTAATTGGCAACTTTGCAGAATGACCTAGAGTAACCCCAATGACCTCAAGTGACCCCTCCACTAATTGGCAACTTTGCAGAATGACCTAGAGTAACCCCAATGACCTCAAGTGACCCCTCCACTAATTGGCAACTTTGCAGAATGACCTAGAGTAACCCCAATGACCTCAAGTGACCCCTCCACTAATTGGCAACTTTGCAGAATGACCTAGAGTAACCCCAATGACCTCAAGTGACCCCTCCACTAATTGGCAACTTTGCAGAATGACCTAGAGTAACCCCAATGACCTCAAGTGACCCCTCCACTAATTGGCAACTTTGCAGAATGACCTAGAGTAACCCCAATGACCTCAAGTGACCCCTCCACTAATTGGCAACTTTGCAGAATGACCTAGAGTAACCCCAATGACCTCAAGTGACCCCTCCACTAATTGGCAACTTTGCAGAATGACCTAGAGTAACCCCAATGACCTCAAGTGACCCCTCCACTAATTGGCAACTTTGCAGAATGACCTAGAGTAACCCCAATGACCTCAAGTGACCCCTCCACTAATTGGCAACTTTGCAGAATGACCTAGAGTAACCCCAATGACCTCAAGTGACCCCTCCACTAATTGGCAACTTTGCAGAATGACCTAGAGTAACCCCAATGACCTCAAGTGACCCCTCCACTAATTGGCAACTTTGCAGAATGACCTAGAGTAACCCCAATGACCTCAAGTGACCCCTCCACTAATTGGCAACTTTGCAGAATGACCTAGAGTAACCCCAATGACCTCAAGTGACCCCTCCACTAATTGGCAACTTTGCAGAATGACCTAGAGTAACCCCAATGACCTCAAGTGACCCCTCCACTAATTGGCAACTTTGCAGAATGACCTAGAGTAACCCCAATGACCTCAAGTGACCCCTCCACTAATTGGCAACTTTGCAGAATGACCTAGAGTAACCCCAATGACCTCAAGTGACCCCTCCACTAATTGGCAACTTTGCAGAATGACCTAGAGTAACCCCAATGACCTCAAGTGACCCCTCCACTAATTGGCAACTTTGCAGAATGACCTAGAGTAACCCCAATGACCTCAAGTGACCCCTCCCCTAATTGGCATCTTTGCCAAATGACCTATAGTAACCCTGCCATTAGGGTTACTATAGGTCATCTGACAAAAATCCAATTAGTGGTGGGGTTACTTTAGGTAATTTGGCAGGGATGCCAATTAGTGCCAGAAAAATTGTTACCGTTTGGTATTGTTGCATGCTAATAGTGTTGCCTAGTTATTGCTGTTATGCTAAATATATACTTTTTTAAAATACCTAGATATAAGCAACAGAACTGGTTCATTTTTAACCACAGTCCAAACAATAATTTAGTTAAAAAGGAAGATGGGTTGATCCTGTTGGCTATTAGGCATTGTTGAAAACTATCTTTGCTTTTAGCAGTGTTTAACTAACAGATCTCTAACTTACATCAATACCTACCAGGCAGATATTGTTAACAGATTCTATTGGTTATTGTTAGACATAAAAACCTGACCGTTATTGTTCAAGTCTAACCATCACCAACAGAAACTTGTTAAAAACTGAATGGATTCTGTTATTCAGGAGTGGCTAGAAACGGGGGTACTGCTCTGTAAGACTCATTGCAGCCACAGATAAGTAATTTTTAGCAGTAATGGAACATCCACACAGGGTTTCCTAAGGATTCCCTCAGTGCCAGGGGTATTTTTTAAAAAATGGCTAGTAGCTCTCGCACTCTAATGTAAGCCTGCTACAGGGCTATGTGGCAACTACTGACTTTAAAAAAGGCCTAAAGATTACTGCCAGATGGGGAGAGATAACAGAAGTAAAAGATGGCATTGTTTTGGGTGGGGGTTGAAACCCCCACACCTTCCTGTTCTGGAAAGATCATACAAAAAGAGGTTTAGGGAAAACAGGACAAACCTAGAAAGTCGATTGGAAGACGTGTGGATCCTCTGGAAATAAATGACCAATCCTCGTGTTGGGGAAACCTGGCAGAGCCAAATGTCCGTGTGGAGGCAGCCAGTGTTATTTGTCCAAAACGAACATTTGTGTAAGTCAGATCCTGTCCAACACTAACAAGCTCTGTTACGGTGCTGTTATCCTCACATGACAACGCCTATCCTTTAACAGTTACTGTTAAGTTCTGCTAGGAACACACAAATCCGGTTGGGTTAGGTTGTTAAAGCACAGAATCGGCCTAACTTACAAATTGACGGGGCCCTTCTGTGGCCAGGGTGTGGGAGTAAATGGACTTTGTCCAACGGGCTTGTCATGGTTTGCCCCGAGGTCGACAAACCATTAGGTGATGGAGGGGTCATCTGGGTTTGACAAGCACATCAACGAGAAACAGACACCGTGAAATGAATCACCCTCAAGTGTGGAAACGGGGAGCCAAAACTTCCCGGCTTTTCCCACCCTTTGGGTGCCAAGAGAGCGGCTGTTCCCTTGGCAATATGGGCCAGACGTCTTCCGCTTAACCTTAGAACTCACCAGATTAAAAAAAGCCACGAAGGGCTATCTGACAGAGGAAGCTTTAGACTCTCACCTTATACCCCCCAAAATCTTTTTTAACTGGAGATGCCAAGGATCGAACCTGGGACCTTCTGCATGCAAAGCAGAGGCTCTTCTGCTGAGCCACGGCCCCTCCCCAAGCCTAATGGCTACATCCACCTTAGAGACCAAAAAGAATGCTCGTACCCCCAAAATCTCGGTCTCTAAGCCACTCCTGGACTCGAATCTGGCTCTCTTACTGCAGACCAAGATGGCTGCCCTCTGAAACTATGAAAGCCAGAAGTCCAGAAAAATTCCTGCATTTAGAAGTCCGTGACTAAACTTCTCCGGGAAATCACCTGGGTGGGCCCGTCTCGGTAGCATTAAGCAGACCCCATTAGTTGGGTTTCAGCTCCAGTTCAGATGCCGCAGCTCAGAGTGGGTACTGCCCTGGTCTGTACCCGTGCCCAGCGTGCCCACACCACACAGGAATGGTCCTCAAGTTTTATTTCAAGGAATAAACTTCCAGGAATAATGACAACTTCAAGTCAGACACCATATCAAAGCTGCGAGGTATACATAAATAGTGGTTTTTTTGACACCTCTGGACGTGTCGTTTAACATTCTTATCTTAAATCACACACACACAGGCACACCAGTCTTTTAACATTGGAACAAGGTAACGTGGAGGCGTGCCCTTTAAAAAGGATGCCCGGTAACTCATTGCGCAACCCAGGCTGGTAAATTCCGAAGTCCCTTCTTCAGCCTCTCGGTGCTTAAGACGTCTGGCACTGAACGCCCGTTCTGGGCCCCTCCTCGTCCTCTTCGTAGGCTTCCGTGTGCCGGTGCTGGGGCCGATCCCGCGGATCGAACTCCACGAGGTCGACCTGATCCATGTCGTCTGTGACCATGACGTCTTCCCGGGGAGGGAGCAGGGCTTCTAGCAGAGACAGCCGCTCCTTGGGAAGCCAGTTCTTCTCCGGGAATACGACCTGCAACAGAAGAGCCACTCAATTAGCAGGGAAGAGCTGCGCGAGGCTCACATCTTGGCGTTATTTTCCACAAAGCTTTGTATGGGCAGCATAAAGCCATTAGGAGGGTCTCTCCTCCAATGCTTGGCCACCTCACCTCTTAGCCCAGATCCCAACCACCAAAGAAAGTCCCCCAAGGTGCTGTAGTGGTTAAGTGCACGGACTCTAAGTGCACAGGGGTTTGATTCCCCCACTCCTCCACTTGCACCTGGCTGGATGACCTTGGGCAAGCCGTAGTTCTGATAAGAGCTGTCCTTGAAAAGGCGCAGTTTCTCTCAGAGCTCTCTCAGCCCCACCTACCTCACAGGGTGCCTGTTGTGGGGAGGGGAAGGGAAAGGAGATTGTGAGCCCCTCTGAGACTCCTTTGGGTAGTGAAGGGCAGCGTAGAAATCCAATCTCTTCTCTCTTCTTCATATATTTTCTTCCAACAAACCCTAAATCAAAGACACACCGTCCCTCCTTAAGCACTTTCCTTGCTCCTGCTCATCACCCAGGAAAAGAGATGGTTTTTATACACCTCTTTTCTCTACCTTAAGGAGTCTCAAAGTGGCTTCCAATCGTCTTCCCTTCCTCTCCCCACAACAGGCACCTTGTGAGGCAGGTGGAGCTGAGAGAGTCCTGAGAGAACCGTGACTGGCCCAAGGTCACGCATCTCAAAGCGGCTTCCAATAGCCTTCCCTTCCGCTCCCTACATCAGGCACCTTGTGGGGTAGGTGGGGCTGAGAGAGTCCTGAGAGAACCGTGACTGGCCCAAGGTCACGCATCTCAAAGCGGCTTCCAATAGCCTTCCCTTCCGCTCCCTACATCAGGCACCTTGTGGGGTAGGTGGGGCTGAGAGAGTCCTGAGAGAACCGTGACTGGCCCAAGGTCACGCATCTCAAAGCGGCTTCCAATAGCCTTCCCTTCCGCTCCCTACATCAGGCACCTTGTGGGGTAGGTGGGGCTGAGAGAGTCCTGAGAGAACCGTGACTGGCCCAAGGTCACGCATCTCAAAGCGGCTTCCAATAGCCTTCCCTTCCGCTCCCTACATCAGGCACCTTGTGGGGTAGGTGGGGCTGACAGCTGAGAGAACGGTGAGTGGCCCAAGGTGGGGGAGGAGTGGGGAACCAAAGCTGGTTCTTCAGATCAGAGCCCGTCACCCTTGACCACCCACACCATGCTGGCTGTTGATGGCAGTCTGCAACTCAGTTGCCTCAAGAAGCCACTGGGCCAGGACTTCTCCCCTCCTGCTCTGGGAGGATGGCGAGTCCGCGTGTGTCTCCTTGGGTGGGGGCTGATGGCCAGGGCTCCCTCTGAGCTGTGGAGTCTGGTGAGCAAAAATTCTACCTTGTGAGCAAACGGCATTAAAGTGGTGAGCGAGCGATCTGGCGACTGCATAAAGTAGTTTGCTCTGGAGCCACATCCTTCCTGAGCTAAGACCAAAAATGCATGAGCCGGAAGCTAGAAACTGTGAGCTGGCTCACACTAACTCAGCTTAGAGGGAACACTGGCCAGGTCTTTTTGAACTGCCGTTGCAACAGGTGAAAACGGGGGCTCCAGTTAAAAAGTAACCAATGACTAGGAAAAGCCAACTGTTTACCGTTAACAGAAACCATCTATCTAGGGGTGCCCGCTTTGGACCAGCAGGAGAAACAGCGGGGGGACAGAGGTGACAAACCCAGGCTTGCCCTCCAAAGGCAAGAAACTCTCTAGAAACTCTATGGTGATACCTGAAGCATCAGTGTGCCAACATAACTTCCAGGGTTTTGCCCAAACATGTAACCAGGTGTTGTTTCAGACTGCCACCTGCCGTTCCTACAACTAAGTCGCTTAATTATTTTTTTTTGAAACTTACCAAGAATTGTATAATTAGAGAACCCTTTTCCAGTGGGTTTTTGTAAGTCGGCATCCCCTCGTTGCAGACGCATTTGAGGTCTCCGTGTTTTACCACTTCACCTGTTGGAAGAAGAGTTCCATATTTAAAGTACACTTAAAAAAAATTAAAAAGACAAATGAACTTCTCCAAAAACCTGTTTCTGAGAGTTTCTTAACAGCTTCCAGTATTCCCATTCTACTTGAACAAGGAAGGAAAGATGTATATTTTACTAATGAACAACGCTGTCAGTGGGCTTGCTCGTTTCATGTACTTCACCATCTAGAGTAGGTCTGTGCTAGCTGAACATTTCAGAATTAGACTGTCTGATCGCATGGTTTACTGGGCAGAAAAACAGAACGCTGTTCCCTTAACCACCTTCCAAATGATCTCTATGCACATTTCATTTTTCCTTCGTGATGGACTTCTTATGGCTGAGCATAGCTTGTCTTGAAGCTTTCCACATTGGAGAACCCAATTTTAACCTCCAGAGTGGAGGCATAGGACCTGCTGAATTGTGGGAACAACAGAGGAGGAGTCAGAAGAACTATGATTTCCCCGGTGTACTTCACAGCCCAGTACTGTGAGCAACAGAGGGAGAGGTACAGAGACACAGAGAAACTATCATTACGGTGATGCATCTTTGCATTTCTTTCCCCATCATAAGAACATAAAAGAAGCCAATGCTGGATCAGGCCAGTGGCCCCTCCAGTCCAACACTCTGTCACACAGTGGCCAAAATACCAGATGCCATCAGGAGGTCCAGCAATGGGGCCAGGACACTAGGAACCCTCCCAATGTTGCGCCCCCCCCCCCAAGCACCAAGAATACAGAGCATCCTTTGCCCCAGACCGAGAGTTCCTATCTACCTTGTGGCTAATAGCCACCGATGGACCTCTGGTCCATATGCTTATCCAGTTCCCTCTTGAAGCTGTCCCTGCTTGTAGTCGCCGCCACCTCCTGTGGCAGTGAATTCCATGTGTTAATCATTCTTTGGGTGATGAAGGACTTCCTTTTATCAATTCTAACCCAACTGCTCAGCAATTTCATTGAGTGCCCACGAGTTCTCGTATTGTCAGAAAGGGAGGAAAGGACTTCTTTCTCAACTCGCTCTATCCCATGCATAATCGTATAAACCACAGTTATAAGCTGTCTTCTCCCAGCTGGGCTGTCAAGTCAATGCATACGCTGCTTTCTCGGAGTACAGTTCTGGGGCCATTATGCAATTATTCACTGACGGAGAGAACTCTGACTCTCAAAAGAGTTAAAAGAACACCCCGCCCTTCATTCGGAGTCTCAGAGCGGCTTACGAACTCCTTTCCCTTCCCCTTCCCCTCCCCACAACAGACACCCTTGTGAGGTATGCGGGGCTGAGAGAGCTGTTTTGAGGACTGCTCTTTTTCAAGGACAGTGGCTTGCCCAAAGTCATCCAGCAGCTGCAAGCGGAGGAGTGGGGAATCAAACCCAGTTCTCCCAGATTAGAGTCCGCGCTCTTAACCACTACTCCAAACTGGCAATTGGAACACAGTTATCCTTTAGGTATGATCGCCAGTGGCTGCCCCTTCCAAGAAGCAGGACAAAAACTGGAAGCTTATTGGGGCCTCGTAAGTCAAGTTCTGTGACCCACCTGGCCTCGCTGGTGGACCTCCTGAGGGGCCCCTGGGTTTGGGCCACTGTGTGACACAAGAGTGCTGGACTGGATAGGCCATTGGCCTGATCCAGCATGGGCTTCTCTTCTGTCCTTATATCCACCTGAAGGTCCAGACCCCCTTGACTTGAAAACCACTGTTCTACTAAAACCAGGTAATCATCTCTTAAAAGAAGATTTGCGTCCAGCAGCATCTCTAAGACCAACCAGGTTTCCGTGGTATAAGGCCCTGCTGAGAGTCAAATCTTCGTCCGTCAGATGCAAGCTGGAATGGAGGTCCCTGAGTCCTTAATATCTCCTCTTCAGACTGGGGTTTTAAGGGCTCAGGGACCTCTGTTCCTCCTTGCATCTGATGAAAGGGGCTTCAAGCTCTTGGAAATTTATACCCTGGAAATCTTGGTGGTCTTTAAAATGCTACTGGACTCGAATTTTGCTCTTATGTACTTATTTATTCATAATTGTGACTTTTAGACCGTCCTCCCCTGTACACAGGTGAACATCATCCCCATAAATAAATTGTCAGATCAAGTTTAAAACAATAAACAGATTGAACAGGCATTACAGGTGACCAGTGTTCCCTCTGAGCTGAGTGCGTGTGAGACAGCTCACAGTTTTTTAGTCTCCGGCTCACGCATTTTTGTTTCGGCTCAGGAAGGAGGGCTCTGGAGCAAACGAATTCATGCAGTAGCCAAATCGCTCGCTCACAACTTTAATGCCGGTAGCTCATAAAGTAGGATTTTTGCTCACAGGGCTCCACAGTTTAGAGGGAGCATTGCAGATGACGTGTAAAATTAGCCAGCTTGTATCCTTACCCCGTAGGGGAAGGAGCCAGGCTAAACGGGAGCCCATTGCTGCCCTCGCCCGTAGGTCTGGCACAACATCTCTGCTTTACAGGCCCCTGTGGAACTGAACTAGGTCATGCAGGGCACAGATATAGATTGGCAGAGAGTTCCACCAGATGGGAGCCAGGGCTGAAAAAGCCCTGCCTCCGGCTGGAGGCAGCCGGATTATTTTTCAGGACAGGGATCTCACCAGTAGATTTTTCTCCCCTGAGCGTAATGTGCTCTTCAGGGAATATACCAGGAGAGGCGGTCCCGAAGATATGTTGGTCCCGGACCATTTAGGGCCTTGAAGGTTAACAACCACAACCTTGAACATGATCTGGTATTCAACCTGAAGCCACTGCAGCGTCTACATGACGACCCTTCCTGAAACAATCTCTTAAAAGGAAGCACGGAGACTACTAGTTAAGCTAAGATACTAAGTGCTCGTTTAAAAAAAAAAATATCTTGGGGTTATTTTATGCTTTGGTTTACAGAAGCCCTGCAAATGACCCAAACATGGATTCATATTTTTTTTAAATCCCATTGGGAATATCATGTATATTAAAATATAATTATTTCTTTTTGAGAGGCGGGCGGGGAGGGGGGTGACACAACACAACACCAGTGCTCCCTCTAAGCTGTGGAGTCTTGTGAGCAAAAATTCTACTTTGTGAGCTACTGGCATTAAAGTTGTGAGCGAGCGATTTGGCCACTGCATAAATCAGTTTGCTCTGGAGCCATACTTCTTGAGCTAAAACAAAAATCTGTGAGCTGGAGGCTAAAGAACGGTGAACTAGCTCACACTAACTCAGCTTAGAGGGAACACTGCTCTGGAGCCATCCTTCCTGAGACAAAAATGTGTGAGCCAGAGGCTGAAAAACTGTGAGCTGGCTCACACTAACTCAGCTTAGAGGGAACACTGCACAACACCTGTGCAGTTTTACCAACGTGCTTCCCAAACTCGCCACAAATCTTACCTGGCTTGGTAGTGATTACGAGGACTCTCTCGTCCAGCGTCTCTATGGTCTTTTTGAAGCCGCACAAGGCCTCGGAAAGCTGAATGCTCATTTTCGTAACCAGGTCCTGGCCTCTTCTCTGAAACACGGGGTGGTCCTTCTGATCGAGGACAATGATGACATCTCCGGGCTCCAGGTCGGGCTCTTGATCACCTTCCCCATGAATCACTATTTTCTGACCATCTTTCATACCTGGGGGATGCGAAGCCAGTCGAAACCAAGGTTAGCACCCGTGCACTATTTGTCAAACCGGCAACAGACAAAAGCAATCAAAACCTGTCCGGTAGATCCAGTAGATGGAATATTCAGGGGGTTTGTTTAATAATCGAATGACTTACTTACAAAATCTGTACCCCACCCTTTCTGACCCCATCAGGACCACCAAGGCAGCTGACAGCTCAAACAAGCGTTAGGGAAACACATAAAAACCACTAAACCTGAAAAGTAAAATGCACATCCTAAAAGCACAGAGAAACAGTAACTGAAACAGGGCAGGAAGGAGGGATTATTGAGGGAGTGGAAGGCCAGACGGAACAAGAACGTCTTCGTTTGCTGGTGGAAGACAGTAACAGAAGTGAACAGACAAATATCCCTGGGGAGAGAGTTTCAGTTTGGATGCCAGAGGTAAGGTGGCGCCCTCTCAGGTTCGTGCAGTGGTTAAGTGTGAGGACTCTAATCTGGGAGAACCAGGTTTGAGTCCCCATTCATCCACTTGCAGCTGCTGGATGACTTTGGGCAAGCCATATAGTTCTGTCAGAGCTGTTCTCTCAAAGACAGCTCTCTCAGAGCTCTCTCAGCCCGGCCTACCTCACTGGGGAAGGGGAAGGAGTTTGTAAGCTACTCTGGGACGCCGAGTGAAGGGCGGGGGCATAAATCCAATCTCTTCTTCTTCTTCTTCTTTGGTGATGTCAACAATGTGATCTGAAAATAGGTACTTCGCAGTCCGGAGGACCACTGTACGACCCTGGAAGCCTGTTCTTGTAGCAAAACTTTACTAATGAACACAGTGCTTTTTGGGGAGAGTTAGAGAGGCAGACAGGTGCAGAACAAACAACAGGAAGAGGCCATGTATGAAACACAACTGAAGGACGGGCAGGAGAGATAGCTGTCCCATTGAGCATTGCCTGGCAAGTCTGCAGTAGGTGTCCTAAACTTTCCCAACTCAACTGATGTTCTCGCTGGACCCGAGACTGACTCGGATGGTTCAGAATGACCTGATCTCATCAGATCTCGGAACCTAAGTAGGGTCGGTCCTGGTTAGTGTTTTGATGGGAGACCACCAAAGAAGCCCAGGGTTGCTATGCAGAGGCAGGCAGTGGCAAACCACCTCGGAACATCTCTTGCCTTGAAAACCCTACAGGGTCACACCACAAGTCACACCACAGGGTCACACCACAAGCTGTAACAATGGCAAAAGGGGGGGGGGGCAATGCAGGCACCAGAATGGAACAACAATCTCACCCAAATTTTGGAACTCCCTCCTTGGGTTCATCCGTCTTCCTCTATCAGTGTCTTTTGTCTGCCTTTTTTTTGTTTCATCTGGCATGCCTCCAATTAACAGCTACTGCCCCCTCCTTCCAGCGTTGTTCATGCATTCTTGAAGTATAATGTTAACTGCATTTTTAATAGGTGTCCTAAACTTTCCCAACTCAACTGATGTTCTCGCTGGACCCGAGACTGACTCGGATGGTTCAGAATGACCTGATCTCATCAGATCTCGGAACCTAAGTAGGGTCGGTCCTGGTTAGTGTTTGGATGGGAGACCACCAAGGAAGCCCAGGGTTGCTATGCAGAGGCAGGCAGTGGCAAACCACTCGGAACATCTCTTGCCTTGAAAACCCTACAGGGTCACACCACAAGTCAGCTGTAACAATGGCAAAAAAGGGGGGGGGGGGCAATGCAGGCACCAGAATGGAACAACAATCTCACCCAAATTTTGGAACTCCCTCCTTGGGTTCATCCGTCTTCCTCTATCAGTGTCTTTTGCCTGCCTTTTTTTTGTTTCATCTGGCATGCCTCCAATTAACAGCTACTGCCCCCTCCTTCCAGCGTTGTTCATGCATTCTTGAAGTATAATGTTAACTGCATTTTTAATTGTTGAAATACTGTAGTGTTTTTGTATGCCCACCCCCTTGGGGACCCTGACTGGGTGGGGAAGTCGGCATGAAGAACCGTTTTAAATAGATTTTTTTAAAAATCAAGACCTTCACCTTTGTCGATGTGGATTTCTAAGATCTTCTTCTCCCGCACCACCTTGTTGCCGTTGCAGGTGGTGCACCTGTCCCGGGGGTTGATGCGCTCGCCTTGGCCCTTGCAGTCGGGGCAGACCGTCTGGATCTGCTGCACCATGCCCGGCCCAATCTGCTGCACGATCACTTGCATCCCTCGCCCTTTGCACGTCGGGCACTTCTCCACGGCCCCCTTCTTCCCACCGTAGCCTAGAAACCGGGGGGGGGGGAGGGTAAAGAGTTTCCCATTCAGATGTTTGCCCGTGTTAGACAAAGCCATGGCAAACCAGGCAGCTGAATCTCAACATCGATGCTGAAGTGAGACACTCTGCCAACATACGCATAGACAGAGCATGCCCTGAGCAGTGCCCACTGCTACCCTGACCTGCATAGCCCAGATCTCAGGAGCTAAGCAGGGTCGGTCGTGGCCAGTACTTGGAAGGGCAGCCTCCAAGGAATACCAGGGCCATGACTCAGAGGCAGGCAATGGCAAAGCACCCCTGAAACCTCTCTTGCCTTAAAAACAAGTCTAGCTTGTCAGCTAGTGGTGCATAACGCTAAAAGAGCAGGAACTTCCAGCTGCCAGGCAATCTTAGCATCTCCTGGCCAGTGTTCCCTCTTAGCTGAGTTAGTGTGAGCTAGCTCACATTCAGCCTCCGGCTCACACATTTTTGTCTTGGCTCAGGAAGGATGGTTCCAGAGCAAACTAATTCATGCAGCAGCCAAATCGCTGGCTCACAACTTTAATGTCAGTAGCTCACAAAGTAGAATTTTTGCTCACAAGACTCCACAGCTTAGAGGGAGCATTGCTCCTCGCTATACTACACACAATGCCATATGGTGCTTATTATTAGCACTCGCTGCTACCGTTATGTGTCAGCCTGAGGAGTTACACGAGTCCAATTGATTTGCAAGTATGCAAAAGGTAATTGAAACAAGTCATGCTCCTTCTAAGCTGTGGAGTCTTGTGAGCAAACATTCTACTCTGTGAGCTACTGGGATTAAAATTGTGAGCAAGCGATTTGGCTACTGCATCAGTTTGCTCTGGAGCCCTCCTTCCTGAGCTGAGACAAATGATGTGTGATCCAGAGGCTAAAAAACTGTGAGCTAGCTCACACTAACTCAGCTCAGAGAGAACACTGGTCAAGATATATTTGTGCAAAGGCTGGGAAAACAGGAACGGAAACTAAGCAAGTCTTCCGATACCCAACACCGATGGCTTATCTGCTCTCAAACCGCGGCACGTGGAGTTGGCAGAGCTCAGCTGGTCAGGCAAAGGATTCATCGCTGCTCACCGTACTTTAAAGCTGCCCACCCGAACGTTTCCGGGAAGCCCACGAGCAGGGGAATAAAGCGAAAACCTTCTTCCCTTGACACCTGCGCCCCAGCAACAAATATTCAGAAACAGGCGGCCTCACTCCCTGACATTCGGTGCTTAGTTCCGCCTCCTGAGGCGGCTGTCGGGATTGTGACTGCCTTGTGTCAGAATTCCAAAGGTGCCCACAGGCTCGAAAAGGTTGGCGGCCCCTGCACTACAGACAGCAAGAACCTTAAAATATTGTTGCGTGTTCAGCATTTTCACTAGAGTAGCTTTCAGGGCACTGGAAGCCTTCTATATAATCCAGCTTCCGTGTACCAACTCTGGCGCTTGTTTCTTTGAGGCATGTTTACTCTGCCCTTCCCAGCCAGACGGGTTCGTAAAGTAGCTTACAGTGACTTTATTCTAGCCGCCACTGCGGAATGACAGACGAGCTGCAGAGTTCCACTTGTGTCCAGTCCACAGGAGTCTTTTACCTTTACACTTGTCGCAGATGACGTTCTTCTGGAGCGCCAGCTTCCGTGTGGTCCCGTTGTAGAAGTCTTCAAGGCTGACACTCAGCTGATGCACCACATTCTTGCCTGAAGAAACAAAAGAGTTCAGGCATTCAGGAGCAAGGCCTGCCATTTACAAGGCTCTTGTTCGAAGCTTGTTAGTCCCTCCTCCCTCACATACCCAACATAATACCCTTGTCCTTGAGAAAGCACACATGGTGTGCCTGGTCAGCAAGAACTTGCTCGCTTGGGAACAGGGACGGTTAGTTTTCATAGTACAATCGATCCCCCTCCCCCAGTCAGCTGCCGATCTGGCTGTTCAAAGTTTTATCTTTAAAAAATGATTCAAACCTCACCCAAACGGGAACTGGGCCATTTTGGGTCTCTTCCCCCTTTGTCTTACTGATCCATTCCTTTGTGGCCAGACATCTTTCACACACGCTGAATGATACACTTTCAATCTACTTTGCAATTAGAGTTTACCATGCGAAACAGCAAAAAACCCTTGCAGACGTATCACAGAAGTGCCTTGAAAGTGCATTCAGGGGAAGGTGCTGTGGCTCAGGGGCAGAGCATCTATTTGGTGTGCGGAGGGTCCCAGATTCAATCCCCGGCATCTCCAGGTAAAAGGACCAGGCAGTTGGTGATATTAAAGAACTCAGCCTGAGATCCCGGAGAGCTGCCGCCAGTCTGAGTAGTCAATACTGACCTTGGTGAACCAAGGGTCTGATTCTGTATAAGGCAGCTCCATGTGTTCACGTGGCTCAAAGTGCATTGTTCAGCATGTGCGAAAATGCAGATGGGCAAAAAGGAAAGTTAAGAGAAGTGACTTCTTAAGAGCCAATTTCTTTAAGTCGGCCAACCCTGCACTGAGGCAAGATGTGCATAAATCTTTAGTACTTCTCCAACTGCGTATCAAGCACAGACTATAGGTGAAACTCGAACCAGAGTTGGAAGGGACCTCCAGGGTCATCTAGCCCAACCCCCTGCACAATGCAGGAAATTCACACCCCCCCCCCCTCCGGCTCCATGCTCAGAAGATGGCAAAAAAACCCTCCAGGATCCCTGGTCAAACTGGCCTGGAGAAAAATTGCTTCCTGACCTCAAAGTGGTGATCAGTATTTCCCTGGGCATGTAAGAAAGGGCCACGAGAACTACCATGAAGGGCCACACAAAATACTATGAAGGAAAAACTCTTCCGTAACAGCATGCTTTCTGTATCAGCAACTACACTTTGTATAGCAATTAATTTTTTTTAAAAAAAAATCCCTAAGCTCAACCCTCCAGTATTAAAAAACAGGGTATTTCATGTTTATCACCCACAACGTGCAAGAAGAGAATAAGCCCTGCCCCACACCCCAATCCCTGAAGAGCCCAAGAACCTAAATATTAAGGCATTTCATGAGCTTAAACAGACAGTCTTATTATTTCACGTGACTTTCGTCTGGTAGCACCTTAGAAACCAACAAGATCTGCGGGGGCTTTGAGCTCTCAAGAGTCCAATCTCCTTTCATCAGATAGCTTTGTCTCTTGAAAGCTTACACTCTGAAACGCTTGTTGGTCTCCTAAGGTGCCACCGGACTTGAATCTAGCTTGTTCTACTGCAGGCCGACACTCCTACCCTTTGAAATGATCTTGAGATTTTGTTTTGCAAGATTGTTAAAAAAAAAATTGAATCCAGGGGTCCCCAACATGGTGCTTATGGGCACCACGGCACCTGCCAAGTGTCTTTAGAAAGTGGGCAGGGCCAGATGGGGCTTCTGGCCAGCAAGGCTTCCGACTGGCCAATGGAGATTTGATTGGCGGTGCAGGTTTTTAAAAACAATGCTTCAGCAGCAGCTCCCACCACAGGACAAGGGCCTTCGCTGCGTGATCAAAGGTAAGTGAGGCGGCCATTTTTATTCATTTATTTTGCGGCTGGCTCCGCCTCCTGCAGCAGCCATTTTGTGGCTACGTTCACCACGCTGCATCTGGATTCCCAAGGTGCTCACAGACTCCGAAAGGTTGGGGACCCCTGTTCTAATCGTTATGGGACACTTGATTCAAAGCCTTATAAATGATAAGATGATGGTTACTAACTACAGTGATATCACTGCTGCAGTTTAATATTATGGTTTGCTTTGCTATCATTATACAAGCCCCAGGAATGGGGCAAAACATATAAGAGAGCATGAAATGGGGGCCAAACAGTGTTCCCTCTCAGCTGAGTTAGTGTGAGCCAGCTCACAGTTTTTTAGCCTCCAGCTCTCACATTTCTGTCTTAGCTTGGGAAGGATGGCTCCAGAGCAAACTAATTTATGCAGTAGCCAAATCGCTTGCTCATAGCTTTAGTACCCGTAGCTCACAAAGTAGAATTGTTGCTCACAAGACTCCACAGCTTAGAGGGAGCATTGGGGTCAACTAGAAGGCATTTGCTAGCAACGACACCTCTGCGTTCGGGCAGAGTCAGGAGCTTTTACATTTCAATGGAGCCTTCAGTTAGCTGAGAAGTACACTCTGCACGCGCACAAGGGTTTCTGCAATGCTAAACTTTTAAAAAGTCCCATGCCCTTTTAAAAAAAGCTTCATACCTCTTCTCTCTCTATTCATTCGGCCTCCACCACCAAAGAACATGTCAAAGATGTCCATAGGTGAAGAGAAACCGCCTCCACTTAGGCCGCCTTCTTTAATAGCTTGTTCCCCACCCTGGTCATAGAGGTCCCTTTTCTTGGGGTCTGACAGGACTTCGTAAGCCTGGGATATGAGCTTAAACTACGGAAAGAAAGAGATCCGCTGAATACAAGCTGACCGCTGAACGGCGACAGTAATGTTTCGTTCACATCGCTGAGCAAAGATCCACACGTCACTTAAAGAGACTCGCAAGGGACTTGGGATGGTGTCAGGAAGGGGGACCCCCCAGCCCCCTCCCAGCCTATACAAGGGACGCCAGAGGGGCCTGATGGATCACGCACTGTAGGTTTTGCCCACAAGTACAACATGGGGGTGCATTGGGAGGGAGAGTGCGGGAACAGATCTGGAGACCCCGGGGAGGGGGACATCTCCAAGAGGCTTGCCTGCCTTCCAAGGCCGGTGAAAGGGCCTCCCAGGAGGGGGACCTTCCGATAGGGAATACCAATACACCAAACGGGGTTGAATACAGGCATTGGTTAGAGGAACGGCTTGGGGACGTGGGAGGCGCGCACCGGCAAGAAATAAAGGCAGATTGCCCGTAACGCAGTCCCAGGTGCCGTGGGTGCATGAAAGAGGGAGGGGAAATAGAGAAACGCATGAACCTCCAAACCGGGACTGTGGAACGGAAAAGGTGTCCGTCAGGAGTGAAGGAACTCTCGAGACACCCCAGTATCTGAGGCCGCTACCAAAGACAAGAAGCCTTGACCCTTCCTCTGCCAGGTGCGTGCCCCTACCCCGAGTGGCGGGACGGCTCAGAATCGGGCAGATGGTTACAGGGCAAAAGCCGTATTCTTCCCATTTTTAGCATCCGTTTGATCCCTCCCTGAGCAGCATTTTCGTTCTCCCACAGAAAATGGATGCCTTTTACTGGGAAGAGCCTGGTGAGCCTAGTGGCACTTGCAAGGGACTGGGGTGGGTTTGGTGCTTCCCAGCGGGGGTCCAACCACCCACTTTCAGTGACCCGGGGCTTTCATTCCCACCCCGGCCCTCTGGGTAACAGTGCCAACTGCAATACCGTCTGAACTGTAGAAAAATTCTGCATGCTTTTGCTTGACAGCTATGGAACCTCCCCTCTCAAATTTCTGTCACTTTTGTAACCTTGGTATCCAAGAACAGAAGGGCCCCGTGTTATGTATTCCCGACTGCTTTTCTGCCACCTCGAGGAGTTGAAGATGCAGCATTGGGGTATACCCGTGCTTTTCTACCCAAGGAGGACCTGAAACAGCTTACAACACTGCTCTCCCCTCCATTTTATGCTCACAACCACCACCCTGTGAGATAAGTTAGGCAGAGGAACATAAGAGAAGCCATGCTGGATCAGGCCAATGGCCTAACCAGTCCAACACTCTGTGTCACACAGTGGCCAAAACCCAGGTGCCACCAGGAGGTCCACCAGTGGGGCCAGAAATCCAGAAGCCCTCCCACTGAGGCTCCACCAGCACCAAGAATACAGAGCATCACTGCCCCCGACAGAGCGTTCCCTCTACACCTTGTGGCCAATAGCCACTGATGGACCCCTGCTCCAGATTGTTTATCCATTCCCCTCATAAAGCGGTCTATGCTTGTAGCCACCGCCACTTCCTGTGGCAGAAAATTCCACGTGTTCGTGACTCTTCAGGTGAAGAAGCCAGTTTGGTGTAATGGTCAGGAGCGTAGACTCTAATCTGAGAGAACCAGGTTTGATTCCCCACTCCTCCACGTGCAGCTGCTGGTGTGACCTTGGGTCAGTTACAAGTTCTTTCAGAGTTGTTCTCTCATGAGCAGTTCTCAAGAGAGCTCTCTCGGCCCCAGCTACCTCACAGGGTGTCTGTGGTGGGGAGGGGAAGGGAAAGGAGATTGCAAGCTGTTCTGAGACCCCTTTGAGTAGTGAAGAGGGTGAGGTATAAATCCAATCTTTTCTCTTCTTCTGTTCTAAGCCTACTGCTCATTAATTTTGCTAGATGCCTGTGAGTTCTCATATTGTGAGAAGGGGCGAAAAATAATTCTTCCTCTACCTTCTCTGTCTATCCCATGCATAGCTTTGTAAGCCTCTATCGTGTTCCCCTTCCTTCATTGTTTCTCCAGGCTAAAGAGCCTCTTTAACCTTTCTTCGTAGGGAAGGTGCTCCCATCCCCTTCATCATCATTATAGTTGCCCTTTTCTGCACCTTTTCCAATAAGAAAGTCTGGTCAAAAGTCACCCAGCAATCTTCTGCGGGAGAGTTCAAATTGGAACCTGAGTCTCAGAGATCCTAATCTAACACTATATTGCACTAGCAGGACTAAAGAAATTTAGGAGGGCGAAATTGTGTGGGTTATTTTGACCATGTGTCTCCCCGCCCCCGGTGCTGTTAGTAAAAAGGTAAAAGGTAAAGGTTTCCTTTGCTTGAAAGCTAGCCGAATCTGAATTTAGGGGGCAGTGCTCATCTCTATTTCCAAGCTGAAGAGCCATCGCCGTCCGAAGAAGTTTCCGTGGCCACGTGGACGGCATGACTAAACGCCGAGGCGCACAGAACGCTGTTCCCTTCCCACCGAAGCGGTACCTATTTATCTACTTGCAGTTTCTTGCTTTCGAACTGCTAGGCTGGCAGGAGCTGGGGCCAGAGATGGGAGCTCACTCCGTCATGCGGCACTAGGATCTCAAACTGCCGAGCTACCGACCTTCCAGTCTGCAGCTCAGCGTCTTAACCTCTGAGCCACTGCAGCCATTAGGGCTGGTCAAACTGAGGGATCAACTGAGGCAGATGGGACCACCCCCATCAGTCAGAGCTTATGCCGCACTTCATTTTAAACCTTTTCTATGTACTATAACACTCCACAAACTCAAAAAAAAAAAAAAAGGTACACTGGCTGTCCTAACTTGGCCATCTATGCCGCTATCTCTCTGCAACTTGTGTGCCATTCTCCAGAGGCCCAAGGCAACTGAATTCTCAGTCGCCCAGGCTTCCTAACTTCGCCCTCCCAGCCATCTGACGTCACCCCACCTACACTTGGCAAAACCTTTTGTGAACAGGCATACCCTGAGGAGGCCCTCCAGTATGGAGTGGCAGCAGAATATAAACCGCCCCGATCCCTGATCACAGGGAAGAGCTGATAAATAAATACGTTCCAGAAAAGTTGTGCAAAGAGACAGCAGAAGGAAGACTTTTTGTGGAGGAACGCGACGCGACCCCCTACGATGGTAGGCTGATTTCTTCCTTAGCCTCCGTAGTATTACAGGCTGGCCTCGGGCATACAATCAGTAAAGCTGATGACAGAAATCGATTTGGTATATCAGGAACCTGGTCTTTAGCTTGTGTGGTTAGGGTCTTCCCCTGTACTGGCCTGTGCTAGAGTTGCCAACCTTTGGTGGATACAAGATGAAATATATCACAGCAATATATGAAAACAAGAAAAAAATGCACGTGCCCAAATTTTAACACCAATAACCAATGGATTTAATAATAGTAAGACATACAAAGTACTCAGAACAAATTTTCCATAAACAGGTAGAAATTCACTGGTAAAGTTGATCACAGGTAGAAATTCGCAGGTGGAGTTTTTCCAAAAACAATCTGTAATAAATTCAAAAAAGCCCTTGAACTGTAAAGGTGTAGTGGTGTCTCTGCCAGCTGACTTGACGGACCCCCGGTTCTAAATCCGTTTCAATGATTTTTTTCAAGGATCATGCTGGATTCAAAATTTCAAAGACACACGTAGACACCCATAAAGCATATTCAGAACAGCAATCCTCAGTGATTCCCAATGCAGAATCTATCATTTCTTGGAACCTCCCTTCAGAATTCTGAAGCGTTTCACCATTTTCATTAGAGGGATGGCTGTGATCAGCTTTACTGATGAATTTCTACCTGTTGTTTATGGTAAATTTGTTCTGAGTACTTTATATGTCTTACTATTATTAAAGTCATTGATTATTGGTGTTAAGATTTGGGCACTAACCTTCAGGTGGAACCTGGAAGCCTCCTGGAACCACAGTTACTTTCCAGATGACATAGATCGGTTTCACTTGAGTAATCGTCTCGCTGGGGTCCCTCTGCCCCCCAGGACTTTGCTCTCCAAGGCTGCACACCTGGAGAGGATTTCCCACCCCGAAGTTAGCGGTCCTAGGCCCTGCAGATATTCTCTGCCAATGCTTAGCTTTCTTGGCCATTTCATAAATCAGCCCCTTTTTCTGCCCCTTGCCGGTGGGCCAAGGTTTAATGGTGCCGGCAACTGAGCCCCCTCCCCGTTCGCCCGCCTCAGCCCCAAGGCGCCAGCCGCGGCCCCATTACCCGCTCGCCCTCGCTGGGGTTCTTGTCCGGATGGTACTTCAGCGCCAGTTTGCGATACGCCCGTTTAATCTCATCTGCGCTAGCGCTGGGCTTCACACCCAGGATGTCGTAGTAACCTGTCTCCTTCACCATGGTAGCCTGCAAAGGGCCAAAGAGGAAGAAAGCGTTAAGTGTTTGGAAGATTTTTTTTTTTGGGTCATTGTTGTTCCTTCCCCACCCTTAAGATTTTCCCTTTTTGGGATGACATCTGCCAGACCCCAAATAATAATAATAATTATACACACACACACACACACAATTTTTATTAATAAAAACCTGCATCCCCCACCTAAGAGGAGGCATTCTCTCTGGTCTCCCACATCAGAGGGCGTGACTCAAAGCTTAATTCTGGAAGGGCAGCAGTGCTTGTCTGCTGTCATCAAAGCTATGAAGACTTCTTGAGGCACCCTGAAGCCTAACAAATGGAGAGTGGCATAAGTCAATGTGAAGGCTTTTAGTCAGATGCTCTGCCTCCTGAAGGCTTAAGGGTCAAGGTTTCCCTTACTCGAGAGGTAGTCGAATCCGACTCTAGGGGGCGGTGCTCATCTCTGTTTCCAAGCCAGAGAGCCAGCGCTGTCCGAAGACGTTTCTGTGGTCATGTGGCTGGCATGACTAAACGCCAAGGCACACGGAACGCTGTTACCTTCCCATCAAAGCAGTACCTATTTATCTACTTGCAATTTCTTGCTTTTGAACTGCTAGGCTGGCAGGAGCTGGGGCCAGGGATGGGAGCTCACTCCGTCACGTGGCACTAGGGCAGGGGTGGCCAAACTGCGGCTCGTGAGCCATATGCGGCTCTCGGAGCCCTCGTCTGCGGCCCACAGGCCTTGCCACCCCCTGATCCCCCCCCCCAAAGCAGCCCTTCCTCCCCTCGACAATGCGGCTGGGCAACTGTCAAGCATCTGCTGCAGCTGGCACTGTTGGGGGAGGCAGGTGGGCTTTGTGTGTGTTTAGGTGCCCTCCTTTCCTCAGCAACGTGGCCTGGGCGTCTGCTGTGCCAGCACTGTCAGGGGAGGCGTGTGTGTTTCTGTGTGCTCATGCAAGTTGGGGTGGGGAGTCTGCGGGCACCCTCCTTCCCCTCAGCCACTTGCCGTCCCCCCTTGCACGGCAGCTGCCTTCCCTCCTGGCTAATCCCCCCACCCACTCCATCCTGGCTTTTTTTTTGCAGAAAAAGCTGCAGTGTTCTGGGCTCCTCAGGAATTGCTCATCTCCTTTCTACTTTACAAAGCCTCTTTTTATTCACACTGTATTCCTTCTCCCACCCATTGCTGTACCCTTTCCTCTGGTCTCATTCAAAGGCTTTCTTCCCCCTCCTTCTGTTCCTAGATACGGTAGGAACGCCCTCTTTCTTTTCTGTTCCTAACCTCCTTCCTCCTGCCCCACCCTTTCAATCCATTACTTGGATCTCCGATTGAGGAATGAATGCCCACAGAGCCCTAGTTCTCCTCAGGATCGGCCCCTTGCACCTCTGCAGAAAAACTCCCACCAGGACAGGTTAGCACAAAGAAAACAGATCCCTCTTTCTTTTGCACTGCAAGCGGGCAAGTCCAAGGAGGTGGGGGGGGGGACTGGAGAAGGAAGGAAGGAAGGAATGTGGTACAAAAAGTTAATTTTACGAAGATCAAAGTTTCCTTCCCTTACTGTTTTGATTTTTGTTGTTGGTTCTGAAATCACTTTTGTTGACTGGCCCAGTTTCTCTACCCTCTCTGACTTTGCCCCATCTCTTCTCTCATTTCAATGGAACAGACCGTAAACGGGGAGAAGGGGGTGGGGGATGGCCGGGGAGTTACAGAACAGGACTTACAAATGTGCCTTCTTAGAAACTTTCTGCCAGCAGATACTGGTTGAAGAGGGTGGCGGCGGGGGGAGGGTTCAACATATGCTTTTGTTTTAAGGGAAAGGGTCCTTGTGCTCCTCCCCTGCTTTAAAGAAAGAAAAGGCTCTGGCAAAACCAAGGGGAATTCCCTGGCCTCTTTGAATTCTTGTGTGCAATCTGGGCTTCATCAGAGCTGGCTGCAAGGACAAACAGACTTGAGAGGTGTGTGCGAGCATGTGTGCCTGCGAGCCAGGGATTGGGGGCAGCACTATTAACACTCTATGTTTGTGTGTGTGTTTCTGAATAATTTGTAGTTTGTGCATTTTAATTGGACTGGAACAGGGCTTTTTTTTTGTAGAAAAAACCCAGCAGGAACTCATTAGCATAACAGGCCACACCCCTGACAGCACAGCTTACTAGTATATTAGGCCACGCCCCATGCCTTCCCTTGGCTTGCCTGGGCGCTCTGCAGCTGCGGGGCGCCCACGAGCCCCCCCCCCCCCCGGAGGGGAAGGTAGTTTAACCTGCCTCCCCTTGGCTGGCCTGGGCGCCCTGTGGCTGCGGAGAGCCCGGACAAACCAGCCCAGGGGATGCAGTTTAAACTGCCTTCCCTTAGCTTGACGGGGTGCCCCGCGGCTGTGGGGTGCCTGGGCAAGCCAGCCCTTGGCTAGGCCAGGGAAGGCACGGGGAGGGGGATCGCTGTCCAGGCCTTCTGTCTGTAGCCACGCACGCAGAGGTTTTGGCTGTAGTGGGCGTGGCCAACTCTGAAGCCAGCCGGAACTCCGTTCCTGTGCGTTCCCGCCCAAAAATAGCCCTGGACTGGAATATTTTGTGCCCTCTGCCTCAACTTGATTGCTGCACTGCTAGGAGCCTTGAGTCAGAGGGAATGAGGAGAAAAAGAAATGGTTTTGTTGGGGGGGGGGGGGGATGGCAGTTTCCTGTGGCCCAAGCAAACTAAAATCTGTATGTGATATATGTTGAGTGGTAACCTTATTCCTATTCTTCAGTGATGTCAAGTTTAGGATTTTCAAGAAAAAATACTTGCAGGTGTTAGAATGTGAGTTTTTAGTTTACTCACGTTAATGTGTGGATTTTGGTGAATATCAATTAGAAACAAAGTGAAGGTAACTCCCTGCCAATAATTATTTTGGAAAATCTGAAAGCTTATTCCATGTGGTTGTTGTGATGATAACACGGAAGAGGAGAGAATGATGATGTATGCCGCTTTGAGTCCATCTTGGGGAGAAAAGGAGGCCTACAGATAGGAAGTGAACTGAACAGCAGCAGCACTCTAAAAAAGCTGGGGAGCTTTTCAGTAGGGCATTTAAACCTACGAACAGGAATGCAAAAACATCTGCTTGCTAACATTCTCATCGCACACGTATGCTGAGCAAAGAGTAAGCTTTGCTGACTTGGGGGCAGGCCTGGGCTTGCCTTGTTGAATGTGAGAAGAGACCAGGTCTTGGGAAACCAGTTTGGTTTAGTGGTTGAGTGCGTGGGACTCTAATCTGGGAGAACCGGGTCTGATTCCCCACTCCTCCTCTTGCACCTGGCTGGATGACCTTGGGCAAGCCGTAGTTCTGACAAGAGCTGTCCTTGAAAAAGAGCAGTTTCTGTCAAGAGCTCTCTCGGCCCCACCTGCTTCACCGGGTGCCTGTTGTGGGGAGGGGAAGGGAAAGGAGTTTGTGAGCCGCCCTGAGACACCTTTGGGTTGTGAACGGCGGGGTATAAATCCAATCTCTTCTCTTCTTCTTCCTCTGTCCAAGACCCTGGAGAGCTGCCAATGGCCCGATTCATTATAAGGCAATTTTATTTGCTCACAAATGCAACAGATCTAACTTAAGTAGTACTGGGATCAACAACAGTTATTGGATTAAAAAACTGGCCTGCATAGTAAAGATCTTTTTGCAAATGGATCTTTCATCTTTGTGGAACTGAGCTGCAACAGCGTTCCCAAAAGAAAAGAAAAAGCCCTTATTTGTACATAGTTCCATTGTTCGATTGCAAGTGATTCTCTTGAAATACATTTGCTTATTTGGGGGTGGGCAGGGGAGATGACAAACAGATTCCCCCTCTTTCAAAACTGTGTAGTGTATGTATGATTGCATTTTTTAAAAAAATCAAGGTGTTTTTTTTTTGCAAACTAGCTTATTTCGTTCACAGTTGTTTATTGCTCTGTCGGTGTTTGATGGGATAGGCAAAAGATGCGTTTTCCACAACTCATTTTTGTTGTGATGTAAATAAGCAATTGTGCCACTTGCCTATGAAAACGTCATTATTTGGCCCCAGCTGGCCAAATAAAGAGGGCTGAGAGTGCCCCCAGGCGTCTTAGTGCTTGCTTGGGAAAGCATGAATTTTGGGGGTGGCACCTAAGCAAGGATGTGACATCACTCTGTGACGTCATGTCCTGTGATGACACTTCCAGGTCAAAGGTCAGGTGATGGCACTTCCTAAGCCCCACCCCTTCCAATGATGTAGAATCCTGCACCAAAACCCTTCCTCTTCCTGTGATGTCACTTTCAGGCCACTCCCCTAACCCGCCTCTTTCTCCGTAGTCACATTTCATCTATGTGGCTCTTACATGAAGCAGGTTTGGCCACCCCTGCACTAGGGTCTCGAACTGCCGAGCTACCAGCCTTCCAGTCTGCAGCTCATCATCAACCTCTGAGCCACCGCTTACGCTGCCATAAACTGACTAGTCTTCAAGAAGCCACAAAACTGACTCTTCGGCCCTGATCTGGATAGCCCAGGCAAACCCGATCTCATCAGATCTTGGAAGCTAAGCAGGGCCAATCCTTGGAAGGGAGACCTCCAAGGAATACCCAGGCCAGGACACAGAGGCAGGTAATATCAAAGCCACCTCTCTGAAACGTCCTACCCCCACTAGGCGTCGCCATGACTTCCAGGCTCGCAAGCACACAGGCACACACAAAATACAACACCCCCCCCCCCAAAAAAAACCCCTTACTCTTCATAACGGTGCTTCGGTTCATAAGGTTTATTAGAAGCCCAAGTACATTTTTCTCCTTGCAAAACTAAGGTCTTGTTTACGTTTTACTGCCTGAGACCAGAGAGCTGCTGCCAGTCAGAGCCAAGCTACCACGGCCTTATGGTTCCACTCTGTACGAGGAACACTTCACTTCTGTGTGTTCTTTAGGCAGCAGCCTTTCTAAAACCACAAAAGGTGGATCCCTCAAGCAGGTAAACATACACAGCTCAGCCAGAAATGAATCCGCAGTGAGGAAGCAGCCTCCTGCCAGGGTGTTGTTTGTAACCTTGATCCTAGGAACAGGACGCTCAGCTAGCAAGAGTGCCCCCTAAACTGCTCCTTTCCGTGCTATCTTGGTAAAAACGGATAGCACCTTCTGGTTAAGATTTTAGAATAAGAAGTCCTGGGTTCGAATGGAGCCTCACTTGTTAACTCACTAGGGGAATCTTCCCAGCTTAAACTTTCAATATGGAGACCACAGAACCATCCAGTTGGAAGGGATCTTTAGGGTCATCTAGTCCAATCCCCCTGCACAATGCAGGAAATTCACAAATACCCCCCCCACACACACACACACCCAGTGACCCCTGCTCCATGCCCAGAAGATAGCAAAAATCCTCCAGGATCTCAGGCCAAACTGGCCTGGAGAAAAACTGCTGCCTGACCCCAAAGTACAAAGGGATAACACTGTCCTGCCATCCACACCAACAATCTATTTTTTGAGTCCAGTGGCACCTTTAAAACCAACTTTTTTGGTCTTAAAGGTGCCACTGGACTCAAGCTTTGTTCTACCCACTTGAACCCACAATCTATATTACTCACCAACCCTACACCCCACACTTAATAACATCACCACTATTTACCACACAGCTAAGTACACAGATACTGTTAATAATATACCTATAATGAATAATACCTGTTCAAATACGACCTGTATTTGTGTTAAGGGTACTGATGCCAGTGATCATAAGACAAATTCCACTAAGATATATTACATGTAACAACAGTGTTAAAACAGCTCCAGCACTGCCAACAACACTAACGCTCAAAACAATGTTGACACAAGTGCTGTACGCCAGGTGTGTCGAACATGTGGCCTGGGGGCCGGATCAGGCTCCCAGAGGGTTTCTATCAGGCCCATAGTGGAACTGGCTGTCTCCTGCTTCTTCCAGTTCTGCTGCCGCCGCGTCATCATAGGTTCGCAGCTTACAGATACACACACCTGAACAGCAGTCTCAAGATTGCAACAGCACAGGCATTTTCATGCAATAATTCAGAGCAAGAGGTGTCAGTTATCGGACACTGTTAAATAAACAAAATATTACAAGACTGCTAATGTTTGAAGCATGTTTTGAAGTTAAAAAACCCCCAACCTTTGTGTTTGTATCCTTTATAACATTTATATCTCTGCTACCTGGCATTACATTTTATGACACACAGGGCCCGGCCCAATAAGGTGTCATTTATATCAGATCCAGCCCTCATAACAAATGAGTTCGACACCCCTGCTGTAGACATTGGAGCACATTGCTAATGGCAGACTATTAATAGCACTGACGCTGTTAGAAGCACCAACATTAACCACAGTATTAAGTCCTAAATAACTGGATATAAACAGGGATGTCAGTTCCCTGGAATTACAACTGATCTCCAGATGACAGAGATCCGTTCCCTGGAAGAAAATAGCCGCTTTGGAAGGTGGACTCTATGACAGTATACCCCACCGAATCCTCCATCCCCACACTCCACCCCCCCAAATCTCCAGGAATTTCCCAACCTGGAGCTGGCAACCCTAGATACAAACATATACTTGGGGAGTGTCAGAAGCACTGGGTACCACTCACAGCACTTACAGTCATGACCTGATGAACCCAAGTACATCAGATACTAATGTCGGTCATCGGAAGTCGTAACATAAAGTATTTTTATTCATGACATTCATGCATTATGAATGAAAACACAGTCGACACAAACATTATTTGACTTTTACATTAAGGGACGGGAACAGCATATTTTACTTTTCTATTAAGTGGAGGGAAGTACAATCAGGAGTTCTACACTCTTACAGTGTGATCCTATGTAAAGTTACCAGAGCTGTTCCCTATCTATTTCAGTGAGCTTGGGAGGAGGTAACTCTATAGGGGACTACACAGAGTTTTTTCACTGATCAGTATTTATACTAACTATGCTCCCCCACCCTTACCAGAATTACCAGTTAATACTGATTAATATTAATATTACCCTCCCGCTGCCCGCTGGGAGACTCATCAATTATCATCAATACCAACTAATACCAATCAATACCCTTCAGCCACCCCGTGAGACCTGTCGATCAGCAACAATAATCGTGGTAGCCAATATTACCTTCCCGCCTTCTCAGAAACCGGTCACTTTGCATCAACACCTATTGATACCACTCTCCAACAGTGCTCCCTCTAAGCTGAGTTAGTGTGAGCCAGCTCACAGTTTTTTAGCCTCCGGCTCACACATTTTTGTCTCAGCTCAGGAAGGACGGCAAATCACTCGCTCACAAATTTAATGCCAGTAAGCTCACAAAGTAGGATTTTTGCTCACAGGACTCCACAGCAAATTGCTCTCCAGCCCCCGAGACTTGTCAATGAGCATCAATGATCATTAATACTCATTAATACAACCCTCCTGACACCCACCTTTGAGACCTGTCAATTAGCATCAATAGTGATCAATACTAATCAATACTACGTTCCGACTCTCCCACCCCGGGAGACGTGTCAAATAGCATCAATAATAATTAATACACACTAATGCAATTCTCCCAACCCCCCAGAGATCTGTCAATGGGCACTAATACCAAATAATAATAATAATAATAAATACTACCCTCCCGCCACTCACAGGAGATCCATAAACTAGTAACAATAGTAATACCAATTAAAACTACCCTCCTGTTGCTCCCTGGGAAACCTACCGATTAGCATGAATTAGTTATAGTGTTTCGCTGTCATTGTAACTCTGATCCTTATGCTAGTAAAATATTTGAAAGCAAAAAGAAAAATTAGCACGAGCAGGAATTAATCCTAATTAATACCACCCTCCCCGCTGTTCCCAGGAGACCTGACCATTAGCAACCATAGTAATTAATACTATCATCCCTCTCCACTCCCAGGAGACTTTTGTGTTTAAATACAGGGTTACCAAATGCCCTCTTTTTCGGGGTGTCCGAGAGGGTGTCCGTCCTCTTTGGGGCTTTTTTTTTTTTTTTTTAAGAAAACTGACAAAAAAATTCCTCTTTTGGGGGTTGGAAGGTTATGTAGGAATATTCCTAGTCCTCAGCAAGGATGACAGCTTAAAAAGCAAGACGCTTTAAAGTGAGAACTGTCATAGCGACCACTTGTTTAAAGTTAGTCAGTCGGGAAACAAGGTCCCCCCCCCCTTTTTTTCGCTTTTCAAAATAAGGTAACCCCCAACTAATACTCATTAATACTCATTAATACTCCAATCCTCTGTCAATCCTCCCCTCTCCCCATCATGGGTGGCCCTTAAAATAGCCCGCTTGTGGCCCAATCCTCCCCACACCCAAGTAGTAAGAAAGAGCATATTTACTGCTACTTTTCTCCGCCCAGTGGCGCCCTCAGAGAGTATTAATACTACACCCTCAGAAAAGTAACAATACTCGGCAGCGCGTCACCCTCCCACTCCGGACGGCGGTTTCTCTCGCGCGCGACCGGCGGCTCCCGCGGCTTTTATATAGGCGGCCGGCGAAGCTTCTCGAAAGCTGACGTCACCGAAGGCTCTCGAAGCCTCTGGCAGAGTCCGGGCGAAGACGGAGGCTCCCGCGTAGGTCGCTCAGCCAATCAGAGTAGCCGGTGGCGGCTGTAGCCAATCGGCACCGCGCGGGGGCGGAGGGCGGCGGAGGCGAGCCGCGCTAAAGCTCCCCCCTCCCCCCCCCGCTGCTCCCTTCAGACGGTGAGGAAAAACCCACCTTTTTTTGGCAGGGCGGGGTGGCGTCCGCGCGTGGCGTTGCCGAGCAACGGCCGCCTCCAATCGGAGATGAGAGGGTGGAAGTTCCCCGCCCACTTTTCCCAGGCCGGCCCCCCCCCCTTCTGTCTCAGAATCGAGAGGCGGCCCGAGTATCAGCCTCCAATGGGGGACAGCCTGGGAATACGAATTTGCAAACCAGACGTTCCCCAGTATTGTATTATTAATTTATTTATTTCAAAATAATAATGATCATCATTTATGACGATCCGACTCGCTTTTTAAAGGAAAGAGATAGTGCTTTTGTTCCCAAAGTTGTTTTTTTTTAAAAAAAGAAGCAGGTAACCTGCCCTTTGGGTTGCCAAACTCCAGGTGGTGGCTGGAGATCTCCCACGACCACCACTGATGTCCAGGTGAGAGAGATCAGTTCACCTGGAGGAAATGGCTGTGGTGGAAGGTGGACTCTATGGCACTAAACCCCACTGAAGTCCTTCCTGTCTGCAAACCCTGCCTTCTTCAGGCTCCAGCCCCCAAATCTCCATGTATTTCCCACCCCAGAGCTGGCAACCCTACCTACTCTGTTTTTTGAGCTCTTATGTTGTTAGCCCAACCTTCCTGTGGGGTTGGAACTTGGAACACATAAGTTCTCCCCTCACAACAACCCTGTGAGGCAGGCTAGACGGAGAGGAAAGTGACTTGCCCATGGTCATGCACTGAACTGCATGGTTGAGGGTCAAAATTTGAACTTAGATCTCTGTAGTCCTAGCCTAACGGCTACATCAGCCTCCAATTGAGGTTAAAGCATTCCAAAGTGGCCAAGGAAAACCTCACCCAAAACCAAACTACAGATTAAAAATCACACGAAGGTGATGCGGACCCAGAAGACCATCATGGCAGGCAGCTAAATCAAGAACCATCCCCAAATCCCAAAAGCTCTTTTTATTTTATTTATTTTTAAAGTAGACATTTGGTGCCACCACACCAAAGGCCCCGTCAGCCTTAGTACTTCAGATAAGAAGAGCTCAGAGAGAAGGAGAATCTTAGTGTAGAGGTCGCTTTATGCAGGAGCAAGCGGCCCATGAGCTATCTGGCCCCCTAGAGTGTCACATGGAATTGACACATCCATTGACCCTCCACCCGGCAGTGATACCACTCTAGGGATTTCTCCAGTGTCTATGGTCACACCCTCCATACCGCTCCAGGAATTTCCCCAGCATCTACGGTAAAGACCATAGGAATGGGAAATTCCTAGAGTTCCATCTGGAAGTGACATCACATTTCCCCCCATGACTCTGCCCTCCCCGGGCACCAGCCCAAACTTTGGTCAATATTTGCTAGCAACCCTACCCCTCTTCCTGTCACATGACTCTGATGTCACATAACTACCTGCCATGTGCTTGCAGCTCAGCATCTGCTGTGCTTAAGGATGCCAGCTCCAAAGTGGGAAATTCCTGGAGATTTTGAGGTGGAACCCAAGGAGGGCGGGGTTAGGGGAGAGGAGGATCTGGGGTATAATTCCATAGAGTTCACACACCCCATCAGCCCTGCCTGGAGGCTGGTAAACCCATGCTTGGCTGCCCATGTTCAGCTTCTACTTTGAATTTACCAACAAAATGAATTAGAACGGATGTTCTGAATTGGAATGATTTGGAGCTTAGCACACATATGACCGAGTAGAATCTGGGTACACAAAGCCCTTTCCTGGTAAAGACGGAAACGTGCACAGAATAAAATATGGTTGTCCTACTTGGCTGCTCTCAGCTTGTCTGTCAGCTGTGGACTCTTCTTCGACTGGTTTCTCTTCCGCGGAGAGTCCACTAGATTTTGGGTCCTCCGACGACTCTTTGCTATTCTTTTGTTCCTCTGGGGGGGACTCCATCACTGGTAACTTTGTTTGGGTTTACTGAGAAAAAAGAGGAGAGAAAAAAAAGGAAATTGCACGCATTGTCATTAAAGGTTTTCGGAGGAGAAGAAGAAGAGATTGGATCTATATCCCGCCCTTCACTACCCAAAGGCGTCTCAGAGCAGCTTACAAACTCCTTTCCCTTCCCCTCCCCACAACAGACAACCTGTGAGGTAGGTGGGGCTGAGAGAGCTCTTGACAGAAACTGCTCTTTTTCAAGAACAGCTCTTATCAGAACTAAGGCTTGCCCAAGGTCATCCAGCAGCTGCAAGTGGAGGGAGTGGGGAATCAAACCTGGTTCTCCCAGAGTCCGCACACTTAACCACTACACCAAACAGGAGTCAGGATAACACAGGTCTCCACCCATCCCCATCTATAAAATGCAAACCCCAAGGTCTTGTAGCCTCAGCTCGCCTTGGGTCCATGCAGGGAAGAGAGAGGAGGTTTAACCCTTCCACCTCCACTCCGTTTGCCGATCGAAACCCAGCCCCCCTTTTGATATTAGTATTTTAAAAGTCAAAAGATACATTTTGAAGAGCATGTGTTGTCGCTTTTGAAATGCATAGTAGGGGAACCAGCCTCAGCATGGAAACCAAGCAGACATTGGGGTTGCCAGTCTCCAGGGGGTGGCTGGAGATCTCCTGGGACTACAACTGAGCTCCAGGCAATGGAGATCAGTTCGCCTGGAGAAAATGGCTGCTTTGGAAGGCGGACTCTGAAATTATACCCCACTGAAGTCTCTCCAAATCCCACCATCCTCAGACTTCACTTCCGAAATCTCCAGATATTTCCCAACCCGGAGCTGGCACCCCTAGCAGAGATGGAAGGGTTAAGACTGCACTTCCTTTCCCGCACAGCCCTGAGGCAAACTGAGGATGCAAAGAACTGCAATGTGAGTTTTATAGAAGATGGTCACGTCCGTTAGACGCCTTACTGGCAGAAATAGCAGCGTCAGGACCGATGGCTCTTGCCGGACGGGCCCCCTAACGTTTTTGTGAACCTAAAGCTTGGCATCCGAAAATGCCTGGGTCAGGTCTGTTCCCACAATCTACCAATGCAAAGGCAAAGCAAGGATGGTTCCAGAGGAGAAATGGTAGCAGTAATGATACTTGCCAGTTGATTATCAGACTGAAGAGGGCACTTGACTGGCACTGCAGAAAACTCTACGGTGCAGCTGGTACCTTGAAAAGAGTTCCCAAGCAAGGCGTTGACAGCACTGCTCTTAGCAGAGTTGGAGATTTCCAAGCTGCTGGATTCGAAAGGCTATCAAGGTCAAGGTCTCCCTTGCTCGAAAGCCAATCGAATCCGACTCTAGGGTTGTGGTGCTCATCTCCGTTTCAAAGCCGAAGAGCCAGCGCTGTCCGAAGACGTTTCCGTGGTCATGTGGCCGGCATGACTAAACACCAAGATGCACGGAACGCTGTTACCTTCCCACCGAAGTGGTACCTATTTATCTACTTGCAATTTCTTGCTTTCGAACTGCTAGGTTGGCAGGAGCTGGAACTAGAGACGGGAGCTCACTCCGTCATGCGGCACACTCGGGTCTCGAACTGCTGAACTACTGACCTTCCACAGCCTGCAGTTCAGCGTCTTAACCACTTGAGCCTATAACTCTGCATAATCTTCTGCTTTGTACTCGAGTGGGAGACTACCACCAAGGAAGACCAGGGTTGCTGTGCAGAGGCTTTGCACTCGAATGGCAAACCACCTCTGCTCAACTCTGGCCTCGAAAACCCTGGAGTCGCCACGAGCTGGTTGCGACTTTGATGGCACATAATTATTAGCCTGGCCTCAAGCTAGCCTGATCTTGTCAGTTCTCGGAAGCTAAGAAGGGTCAGGTTGACGGGAGGCCGTCAGGGAAGTCCAGGGTTGCTACGCAGAGGCAGGCAGTGGCAAACCACCTCTGTTTGTCCGCCCTGCCCTGGATGGCCCAGGCGAGCCCGATCTCGTCAGATCACAGAAGCTAAGCAGGGTCGGCCCTGGTTCGTACTTGGATGGGAGACCAACAAAAGAAGTCCAAGGTTGCTGTGCAGAGGCAGGCAATGGCAAACCACCTGTTTGTCCGCCCTGACCTGGATGGCTCAGGCGAGCCCGATCTCGTCAGATCTCAGAAGCTAAGCAGGGTAGGCCCTGGTTAGTGCTTGGATGGGAGACCAACAAAGAAGTCCAAGGTTGCTGTGCAGAGGCAGGCAATGGCAAACCACCTGTTTGTCCGCCCTGACCTGGATGGCTCAGGCGAGCCCGATCTCGTCAGATCTCAGAAGCTAAGCAGGGTAGGCCCTGGTTAGTGCTTGGATGGGAGACCAACAAAGAAGTCCAAGGTTGCTGTGCAGAGGCAGGCAATGGCAAACCACCTGTTTGTCCGCCCTGACCTGGATGGCTCAGGCGAGCCCGATCTCGTCAGATCTCAGAAGCTAAGCAGGGTAGGCCCTGGTTAGTGCTTGGATGGGAGACCAACAAAGAAGTCCAAGGTTGCTGTGCAGAGGCAGGCAATGGCAAACCACCTGTTTGTCCGCCCTGACCTGGATGGCTCAGGCGAGCCCGATCTCGTCAGATCTCAGAAGCTAAGCAGGGTAGGCCCTGGTTAGTGCTTGGATGGGAGACCAACAAAGAAGTCCAAGGTTGCTGTGCAGAGGCAGGCAATGGCAAACAACCTTTGTTTGTCCGCCCTGACCTGGCTGGCCCGGGCAAGCCCGATCTCGTCAGATCTCAGAAGCTAAGCAGGGTCGGCCCTGGTTCGTACTTGGATGGGAGACCACCAAGGAAGCCCAAGGTTGCTGTGCAAAGGCAGGCGATGGCAAACCACCTCTGTTTGTCCGCCCTGA